GACATCTTACATTGAAATAAATGTAATAATTTATAAGCTTAACATAAAAATCAGTGAATCTTTGAAATTAATGTGAAAGGCTAGGCTTAGTACAAATTGTTTTACACTTTTCAGTTTTTGCTCAAAATGCTTTCCAAAAATAAAAAATAGTTACTTCCTGTATTATATAATGTATATGAAGTTTTGTTTAGCAAAAAAACATTTTCAATCTTTTTTCAGCGCTTATCTTCATAAAACTCATAAGTATTCAGTAGATAATTATTATTTAATCATATATTAATTATTAGTTTTTCGCCCGCATAGAGTTCAGTTATATCGCGTTTCCAAGAGAACCTTTCAAAAGTCTGGGATAAAAACTAACCTATGTTCCTTCTCAAGGTGAACTCTATCTCTGTACTAAATTTAATTAAAATCAGTTCAGTGGTTTAGACGTGAAAGCGTAACAGACAAACAGAGTATTTTCCCATTTATAATATTAGTATTGATAATCCAAGTTCATAGATAGAAGAGTATATAGGAATAATTTTGTTCAGGTTAAAGCGAAATTTTTTACGTAACAGCCGCTGTAAATAGTTCGCAAGTCCACAGATTAAAATAATTAACTCATATTATAGTGACCTCCAACAATTGCGACATCCCATTACACGCAAATTAATATTTGACGGATATAATTAGTTGAAACAGAACCCAGTTTCCAGTTTTTAAAAAGTATTAATATCAATATTATAGAATTGTATAGGATAAAAAGTCTTCATTATCTGTTGTTTTAGTATCAAAAACAATATTTAGATATTTTAAAGTTTATCAAGGCTTGATAAACTTTTATGTGGAAATGAACTATTGAATTCCTTCTTTTATTTTTCTTTCTGGTATAGAAATTATATTTAATAGACAGAAGTGGTTTTAGTTAATGAAATATTTTGTAAATAAAACATAATATTGAATATTGATTTACATACTACAATTCCCTTTGTGAAAATAATCAATTCCTAAAAAGTTACTTGAGATATATCTATCTATATCAGATATAGAACTTCTTTTCAGTAATTTAAATATCGTGTAGTAATACGAATATCGTATTATTAATACTGTTATAACACAAGAACGGCTAACCGGGATTTGGCTGAAAATTGGCGGAGAGTTAACTTAGACCCAATAAAAGGACATAGGATACTTTTCTTCTTATTAAAATAAATAGATTGATCAAATCCAAAATATCCTTATCTACTGTCTTTGAAGAAGCATAGACTACGCCCGGTCAGGTATACATTTGTAATTCTGAAACTAACGTAGACGAAGTCGCCGGCAAAACGTAGTAACATCATTATTCTGTGATAGTTTATTACATAAATATTAAAATAATAGTAATAATAATAAATAATGATAATTATTTTAAGGAAACTAATAATAATATTATTTTTAGATTACTACGCGTATTTTATTATTATTTTAAACTACATACTCCCGACGTTTCCGTAACTTGGCAACAACCGTGATCACGGGCAGACGAGATGATTTCATTTAAATGAATACTCGCGAAAGTTTTACATCGTATTAATAATAATTACTTCTTCTTCTACCTGGCAATTTCCCAGCTATAGCCAGGGTCTGCCTTAAATGTTGTCAATAGTTTTGGCTATTTATTTTTACGCCCGGCCGCCTGCCTGACATCAACCCTCTTTTGGGAATCAACATTAATCAGTGATGTCTAAATAGTCTTGGAAAGTACATTTGACTCGGAAAATTCACATTGGTACTTGCCCGGGCCAGGATCGAACCCGCGACCTCGACAACAAGAGGCGGGCACTTTAACGACTAGGCCACCACTGACTTTAATAATAATTACTATTAATTTATTTATTTAATTACGTAAATTATTGAACTTCTTTCTCCATTCTTCTCTTCTCTTCCTTTTCGGTCTGAGGGACTCCGGAGAAACGATAACGTAAATTAATCTTAGTTCAACTAAGATTCATATAGGTAATTCTATGTAAATACCAATTTAATTCACATGAGAAATGGTGGATGGTAAGTAAAATGTTATTTCTTTATATAATAAAATGAAACTTTATTTATAAATTAAATCTTTTAGTTATTACAAATATTTTGTTCCTACTTATAGCCCTTGACTACTTTTTTTTGTACGTGTAATTTATTGGTATAATTATATTAATTTCATAATCTATATCTAATATATAAAATTCTCGTGTCACAGTTTTCGTGCCCATACTCCTCCGAAACAACCTGACCGATTTTGATGAAATTTTTTGTGCTTATTCGGTAGCTATGAGAATCGGCCAACATCTATTTTTCATCCCCCTAAATGTTAGGGGTAGTCCACCCCTAAATTTTTTTTTTTTTTTTTTTTTAGACAAAATTTTTAATTACTATTTTTTTATGATACAACGTACAAAAATACATACAATCCTAAATTTTCACCCTTCTACGATCAACCCTTATTTTTTAATAGCTATTTTAGTAATTTAATCATTTTTCATCTCCGGTCGATAACTGATCAATCGTCATTTAATAAGTTATCCCCGCCAGATATCTACAGGTGTCACTTCTGACCCAGTAAACAGCACGGAGTAGGGATGAGAACGAAGCCGGTCTTCTGTTTCTCTCACACAATTAGACTTCTCTCACTCCCTACACAGTTGTCGGCCATCGTTATTGTTTGTGCATCAAGTGTAGTAGTAACGTTGACAATTATTATTTTGCTAGCTCAGTGTAACTCTCATATTAACTATTAATCATTCCTAATCACTTCAAAACACGGAGATTTATGGCTTTAATAGGTAAACTCCAAAAATATAAATAAAAAAACGTAACAGATATTTCTTGATTATAGGGCGAAACGAAGTTCGCCGGGTGTTCTAGTATGTATATAAAAATGAATTGCTGTTCGTTAGTCTCACTAAAACTCGAGAACGGCTGAACGGATTTATCTTAACTTAGTCTTGAAATGATCGTGGAGGTTCAGGGAACGTTTAAAGGCTGAAAAAAAATTGATTAATTTCCGAGAAAACCCTAAAAACAGCGCTTTTCTATTTCCCATACAAATGTTTTTTTGACATTAGATTTGACAACTAGCTATTATGTCAATTATTCTGTTCGATTGAAACAGGAAAAATTCAATAAATACCAATACCGGGTTATTTAAGACGGAATAGAGTTCGCCCGGGCAGCTATACATACATATTTTAATAATGACGAAATTAACGCGGACGAAGTCGCGGGCAAAAACTAGTAGGTATGTAATAATTATATGGTATCATATTATGGTATTAGTATATGGTAGCTGTAATGAACAAGATAATTTTATATCTTAAAATCTAATAGACTTGTAGCTTCTGGATCCTTTTGAGGTGTAATTTTGATGGTAAGAATTGGACAACAATTTTAAAAGGATCATCAATAAAAATGCATTAAAATCAAACTTAAAATAAACTTCTTGTGCTTAAATTGCAAACTGTTAATGAGTATATTCAATAATAATTGAAATAATTTAGATTTTGAACATTTAGGAATATATTCATAAGTAGCAAGGCGGAAAGAGTTGTAACGAGCGACGAGGTAGTTTACACTACCATAAGAAGTTACTACTTGAATAACATCAGCGCTATCTATCTTCAGGCATGGAAGGTCCTCTGCTGGACATAGGCCTCCGTTATAGACTTCCAAGCACTACGGTCGGAGGCGGCCTACATCCACCATGAACCCGCGGCCCTGACTAAGTCGTCCGTCCGTCTCGTTGGTGGACGTTCGACGCTGCGCTTTCCGCAACATCAACGCTGTAGGTACTAGGAACTCAAATTATTGAAATTTTTAGTTTATTAGGTAAACTAAGTCAGCCTCAAAATTCTTTTTTACCTTTTTCACATACAATGAATTGGTAAAACTATTCTTACTGTTGTCTTTAGACTGTACAGGCTGAACAAAACAATTGAATGATTATATTTTGATGCTTTAAAGTTGTAAAAGTACAAACGCTTTTAATACGGAAGATTAAAACTGTAATAAAATGTAACTCTCGTTATTTCATTCGAAATAATATGAGTCACAATTAATTTAAAAATAAATGTTACTCTTTAATCTAAACATATAAACTTAACCTACTTGTTGTGTATACAATTTGTATATATATGATATTGACATATTAATTAAGAAGAAGGTTTAAATTAATAACTTAAAATAAACATTATAATCGTAATATAACTGGCAACAATGAATTACTAAAATCAATCTTTGTCAGTTGAAATTTATCATTTAAATTATTGATTAAATTATTTAAACATCTTACTTTATTTGATTTACTGTGAATATGTCTATAAACCTATTTAAAATACTTACTTTTCATTAAACCCATATGTATATAAGTATTTTAGTTTGTATCATATATTTTCTGGAAATCTCTAGCGTTAAAAATTTGCTAGATTTTAATTTTATTTATTTTAACTTTTATAATTTTTTACTTTTTCTCTAATCTTGATATATATTTTATTTAGCTGTAATCCTACTGTAGGATCAATAGAATCAATGCTTTTTTATCTGTATACAGCTTTATATATCGTAGAACAGAATAAAGGTAGAATAATATTTTTTAATAAAATTTTAGTTTTAAATTCTGTATCCTATATTCTACCATTATTGTTAAGAAGCACTTATGTTAGGCAATATTTTTTATACTAATTATCATGATAATTAATGTCGTTTTATAATGAAAAAAACAGTGTTATCATCATAAAAAAAGCTTTGTTACGGCTATAAACCCCATGAGGGTAACACAGAATTTCTTTTTTTATAACTCTATCTATGGTTTTAAGACTTCAGAGTTCAAACGTTCCTCGGTTTCTGAACTAGACAGCTGTCAATAACTGTGAGAGTTCGCATGACATTTGTCAATTCGGAACAATAATAAAAATATTAACACATGAGACAAAAACATTACATATTATTGTTATTCTTTCATAACTTAAACCTGCATTAGACTCTACAACATGTCAAATAGAAAGTTGTGGGGAGAATTTGAAGACGAAGATAACAACGAGACAGTGCTACAAACTGTTAATTTCAATCCGATCATTGAATTGGGATTGCAAAATATACCAGAAATTCCTATAACGGTAAAGTCTAATCCTATCGAATGGCCTAAACCGAATCTTATTACGCATACGATACAATTACACGCTTATTCCCGCCAATTGTCAGCTATTATAGATCAAGGTGAAAATGCTGCTTACGAAGGTTCAAGAGTAGATCCAATAAACATACCCGACCCACCTCCACAACCAGAATTGAATGTGGAACACGAAACAGTACCGCCGATAAACTTCCTTCCAAAACAATACTGCGACTTTTCTCTTGGAAGAGGACCAGTAATTTTACCGTTTACTCCAGAAAGCCACAACCGTGCACTAAAACAGTGTGCAGCAATATCCATTGGACATGTAGGCTTTGCATTTAGCACCAACACAGCACTGGCTGCCGTAGCAGATGCTTTAGACATTTACATGACAAATATGTGTAAATTATTAAGAACTATAGTTGACAGAGACGCCAGTGGGTTAAAATCAGGCTTCCCGGATGCCATTTCTAAATTATTTGCAGACCTCAATGTGGGAAATCTTCAAGACTTTTATGAAACTCGCATTGTGAGATACCATGCTAAGATAAAAAATAAATGTGAAGATTTGAGAAACCAATGCGAAGCACTGGCTATCGGTGATATAGCTCCACAATTGAAGTTGGAAGAAGTGCCCGAACTTCACTTCCCTGCGGCTTTAGATGGAGCCTTCACTCCATCCTTAGAACCAGGGTTTCAAATGCTCCATAGTTTAGAACAAGAACAGCTTCAAAGCCTAGACTTGTTAGACACTGTATCAACGGATGATTTAAAAGTCGAATCTTTGGAATTCTCTCAGCCAGATACTACTAAACTACCAACATTGTCACCTACTGCTAAGAAAAAAAGAAAATAAAGATTTACATACAACCATGTTTAATTTATTAAATTATTACAATAAAACTTCATTCTAAAAAAAAAATCATTTAAATGAATATTTTTGGATATACTACACGATTAATTTTTAGGAAAAAACGACATACTCCCGACGTTTAGGCTACTTTTCAGCAACCATAACCACAGGCAGATGAGATATCATAGTTTTTTCACAAAAATAAAGTCTCATAGCATATCCAAAAAAATATTAGTTTAATTTAAATGAATAAAACTTACGAAAATCTTAGATCTCATTACAAAAAAAAAAAACTTGCATTTTGTTCCTTAACTGAATGTACTTGTCAGTAAAATAAAAAAGCCAACTAACATAGCACCAAATAATTTATTTGTACCCAATTACATTTCATTATAAAAACACTGAATCGACAGCCATTACAGCCAATAAAATTTATTTACATTAAGTGATTATTTCACATTCGTCAAACAGTAAAAACTATTCAAGCAAAATCAATATTGTATTATGAGATGTCAATACAAGCAATTTTCAATTCTAATAATTGTGGAAGATTACATAAACAAGCTAAAACATGATTTTCAAATCAATTCTCATCCATTTAAAATATTTCATCAGTGATAATAAAATTGATATTTTATGATTATTGAATAAAAATTACATAATCTTCCACAGTCAATACAAAACTTATATATAATGACTAAATTAATTTGTTACTTATTAAAATGGAATGAAGATCATTACACCCATAACAAACTAATAAAGTGGAAACTTATACTTAAACTAGGAACCTTAGCTGGTCACATCACAGTAGATGCATTACATGTTCGACAACAAGTGTGCTTACAATTTTCTTATACGGCCAATTATTTAGTTTTTAAAATATTGTCAGTTTAAAACAGCATATGTACAATTTAAGTCTTTCATGTCAAATGAAAGTTATCAATGTTTGTTATGAGGCAAACTAATATTAATTATGTCTAAAATCCACGACAATTCTGTACAATTACTTCTTAATACCAAACATATTACTTTTTCTCTGGTGGTGTCGTCTTCTTCCTTCGGAACAGAAGGATATGGGGTTCTGTAATACAATAATTGGTACAATTAAATAAAATACATATGTATATGATTGTATATAAGTGAGGGGTGGCTTAGTGGTTAAAAGGCCTGCAACTCATGCATGAGGGCGCGGGTTCGAATCCTGGCAAGTACCAATATGATTTTTCCGACCCATATGTACTTTGTAAGAGTATTTAGACATCACTGATTAATACATTCCCAAAGAGGGTTGATGTCAAGCATGCGGCTGGTCATAAAAACAATTAGCCAAAACTATTCACAACATGTAAGGCAGAACCTGGCTAAAGCTGGGAAATTGCCAGGAAGAAGATATATGTATATGGTTTGAGGGGATATTGTATATTATGTAGGTGAATATGTAATATATTAGTATATTATTTACCAGGTTGATGTGTCATATAGTGGACCCAGCCTTGGCTCTGCTGCACGCCTATACCTCGCCACTCCTGCTCCGACATCAAATGGTTTTTAGGCACTAACTTAACCATCTCTTTTGGCAATACGACGTGCCTTAAAACAAAAACATCAGTGAGTTTGATTATTAGTAACTTTCATGCTTACCTATTAGAAAACTAGATGAATTTACGTTGTTAGAACCAAATAAAAGTGATGAATTATTCATGGTCAAACGTTTTCCGGTGTTCTCGTAAATTTATGAAATTTCTATCACTTTTGACACGGTTGGTTTTCAGGTTATAATTTTAAAGTTTATTCGGTTCTAAACAGTGCCAGCAAATTTAAAACACTATACAAAAATATAAATCATCTAAAAACATTTAAATTATAGCAACAGTTATTATTCAAGGATGAATATAACATATTATTATTTATAAGAAACAAAATTTACCTGTATTCATGTTCTTCGTCGTAATATTTTTCGGAATAGTAAATATCCCTTGACATGTTGTTGAGCTTTTTAACTATCTTGAAAAGTTGTTTACGAAAGCTTCGAAAATTGTCTCAAATCAGGCACGATCTTTCGCTATATGAACGCCACAAAGAAAACTTTTATAAACGTTAACGAATTTGAAAATTCGAATCGTAAAATGTTGCCATACGTCACGAAACTGACAATATGTTAAATCTAGATTAAAAACATCTTTCAAACACAAAAATAAAAGGTAATATTATGTTATAATTTAAAAAATTCCTTCTGAGTATAATGATTTTAAAAAGATATACAATAATTTGTAATTTCTGAATTATTTAATTTTATTAAATGTTCGAAAAATTTAAACTTTTTTCTGAAACTGGGAAGGATGCGTCATTTTAAAATAATGATACTAAGTCACATATTATTTAAAAATTACAATTAAGATATAAATATTTAGTATCCTTATATAATAGAGATTAGTATGCTCTCCTTTTCATAATATTAAGCATAATAAAATGTATTTTTAAAGTATATGAGAGGTGCACCCATTGATGCTAACTATTAAATTGGAGGAACCCTTTTTATTTGCCTCGTTTAAATAAAAATATAAAGAAATGTAAATACTTAAAAAAATGAAATTTACGAGTTTTGAGATCCGAAGCAACTTTTTCTACATCTTTGCATTAACGGAATGTCAACAAACATTTCTATACATAGTGTAAACTATGTGAACCTTCGTGTGTTCAAACAAAACAAATGGTATGAAATACATATTAATTAAAAAAGGCACGCTTTTTAAGTTAAGGGAACTCAAAAGCAGAAAATAATTTTCAATTGCAAAGAAACTACATTACAGTAGCAGAAGTTCAAACAATCCTTCATAGTTAATCACCTCAAAATAAAATTTCAGATATTTACAATAATTTAATTCAGAGTAAAAAATGTTTGGTGCATTTGACTACATGTCATAACTTTCCTCTTAGAGATGTTAACACTAGAATGAATGTAACATCTAATAACAAGGACCAGTAAGGATAATGGAAAACTTATCAAATTATTGCATTGTCATAGATTCTAAATATGAATGCCTAGTTTCAAATTATTTAGACTTCTAGAAACCGGTGAAAATTAAGCTCAAAGATTCCATTACACACATACATACAATAAAATAAAATCATGTTAATAAAAAGTATACTAAGAAATAAAATAACAATATTAAAATATATATTTATTAATTACTATTTCTCACTTAGCGCCTGGTGCTTTTTCTCATGTTTTGTCAGTTCATTTTTATTCATAAATTTCGAAGGGCACTGAGAGCAATTTAAAGTTTTATTCTTGTCATGTAAATATGTTATGTGTCGTTTTAAATTTGATGCCCGAGACAGTCTCATGCCACATATAGAACAGATATGTGGTTTATCGCCTCTATGGGTCATTATATGCTGTTTCAGATCACTTCTAGTGATGAATGCTCGGCTGCAAACATCACATTCATACTTTTTTTCACCTGTGTGTTGTCTGAAATATAAACGGATGATTAAAAAAATTATTCAAGACTTTTTACTTATATTCCTAGACTTTCTTGTAAGATCCTTAATAAAGGATAAAAATCATAAATAAATCCTAAATTTACCTATAATAAAGATATATATGTGATACTGTCATTTGTACAAGTTGAAAAATAAAGTAATCCAATAAATGAAGTTTAATATTATTTACCAAACTAGTGTTTATGATGCTAACCTTATATGATACTGTAAATGACCAAAAGTTCTAAATTTACGTGGACATAGAACACATTGGTATGGCAGAAGTCCTGTGTGTTTCCGTTTGTGTGCCGTTAAACCTGATGACTGAGCAAATGTCTTCCCACATGTTGAACAACTGAATGGTTTCTCACCCTGGAAACATCAAATGAATCTTTATAGGTACATCTTTGGAATATTAAACAATAGGAATTCAAATTACCAAACATTACCGTGTGAGTTCTCAAATGTACATTCAAATTCTGTAATATTGAAAATGATTTCTTGCAAATGCTACAGATATATGGTTTCTCAGTAGCATGTGTTGCTAAATGAGTTTTCAGCCGGAACCTGCAATAAATAAAAAAAATATATAAATTTAGTTTATGTAAAATAAGTTTCCACTTGTGAAAAATATAACCATTTTACCTACTTGGAAGACATAATTTTTCCACAAGTAAAGCATTGTTGTTTGTTTGTATGATTGGAATCACCTAATACTTTATCACAGCTAGTATTATTTTGAAAAATAAATTTTTCTTCTATATTTATTTTACTATCTTCTTCCAATTTAATACACACATTGTTTAAATCTTTCGTTTGTGATCTAGATGGTATATCATTGGAGGATGAATTTTTTAATATGTAATCCGACTTTTTACACCGATCAATGAATTTAATACAGTTGTTTAGTTCATCATTACATGATTCACATATTCCGTCTGGCAAACCATCGTCTGGTTTTATCTGAAAATAATTTATAATGTACACCTATTTCTTATGTGCTTTGAGTTTTCCCATAGAAATTAAAAAATAAACAAAAATACGACTTACTTGAATATTCGCTAAAGACATTATTTTTGATGATATATTTGGCGAGTAAGTTAAATTAAATATATTTATTAGTGCATCTCCAATTTCTAAACAAATCCTACATTTATTGACTTCCATTACAAAAACAGAGTATTATGAATCATTTATTAAACAATTTTATAATAATTATTATCAACTTTAAAATATAATTGAAGTGTCAGCTGATCACCTTTATGTGTTTATCTTTTGATAAATGGTTAAAGTATAAACTTGAAAATATCGATTTTATAAGCTCATTATCAATTGGTAGATTACAATACGAAATAATCTTAATATGTTTAAAAATTTAGAGTATGTACCTGTTTTTATTCTCATTGTCAGACTGAATATTTATATATACATAAAAATATAAAACTCAACTATTTCAGTAACAATAATGAAATCTATTAACTTGCTATATTAATTTTTAAACCTTTACGTATGTATAAGTTTTATTTTTTAATTTAAATTTCATATTAAAAGAAATTCCTGACCTATATAATGTGAAAATTCATGAATTTTGACTTTGCTATTATTTTAATATCGATATTTTAAGTTTTTGTAGAATCGATATCGTATCTGATAACAGATAAGCCGTGAGTATATATACAACTCGGTTTAAAATTCTTACTAGTTTGTTTTTTGTGCTGACGGGTTACACTATAGGTAACTTCAATATGTCAATCAAATTGTACCACTTTAATGTTAGCACTCCTTCACGTGGAGCGTTGTTATCAGCGAAATTATTAGATGTACCTGTCGAAGTTGTTATCATAGACTTAATGAAAAAAGAACAACTGAAAGAATCTTTCATCAAAATAAATCCTCAACATTGTGTGCCAACACTTGAAGATAACGGTTTTGTTATATGGGAAAGCCGGGCAATAGCCTGCTATTTGGCTGATAAATACGGGAAAAACGACGACCACTACCCTAAAGACCTTCAACGCCGTGCTATTGTAAACTCACGACTTTATTTCGATAGTTCATTTTTGTACCCCAGACTCAGGGCAATTTGTGTATGTATTATTTTTTGTATTCCTAAGAAAAAAATTAAGTTTAATTGTTATTAAGTATAGTGTTTTTACGTTGCTTGTTTAACTAATGCATTTTTTTTTTATATTTTAGTATCCTATAATATTTGAAGGCGTGAAAGAAATCAAGGATAAATTAAGAGATGATTTGAATTCGACACTCGGTTTCTTAAATCAATTTTTGGAAGATCAGAAGTGGGTTGCTGGGGATAAGCCCACTATAGCAGACACAGCCATTTTAGCATCTTTTAGTTCTGTAGTTGTAAGGAAATATTCTTTTTAGTTAATCTGAAAGTATGTAATAAATATAAAAATACATATCAGTCACTCTATACATTACTAAACTTTTGGTTTCAGGAAATTGGATGGGATCTTAGTCAGTTCCCTAATATTGAGAGATGGTACAAACAGTGCAGCATTCTGCCAGGGTATGAGGAAAATCTTGAAGGAGCTAAAGCATTTGCCGGATTGGTTAAGAGGAACTTAAAATAAAAGATATATTTGTATTGATAAATCTTATATTCTATATTTTATTATGATTAATAAATTTTTTATTTATAAAATTTTATAACTAATTGCCGTTCATTCCTTACTCTTCTCTCTATAATTGTCTCCGATTTGAAACCGAGTTTAGACATTATTTGAACAACTTCTTTTGGAATGTTTTCTTCTATCAGCAAAAGGTAAAAGCTGCCATCCGGAGATAATATCTTTGGTATCATATAAAGAAGTCTATCAGTGACTTCTCTGCCTTTGACACCACCAGCCCAACTCGCCTCTATACCATGACTATTGCACTCCTCGGAATCAGTCACAACATATGGAGGATTAAAAATAACCACATCAAACTTGTTCTCAACAAAACATGTCGCTAAATCCATGTTGACGGCATCCATTTTAACATTATTGTGTGTGGCCGTGCTGTGTGACATTAAGCATGCTTTAAAATTGATATCCGTGCTAAAGCATAAAGTATTTGGAAATACCATGCCAAAAGCAGTGATAATAACACCGCTGCCTGAACCAACTTCTAAACAAAATACCGGATTCTTCTTATTGAGATATTCAAGGTCTTTTTCTAATGCATCGATCAGCAAGAAGCTGTCTTCTGCTGGTTCGTAGACATAGTTAAAGTCTTCTTTCTTTATGTGGTTCTGATATGGAGTCTCCATGTTAGTTAATGCTACCCTGAGCAGTTATACCGCTGCTTGTACTCTGTTCTGGTTCTGATGGTGTTTCGGCAACTTTCCTTACACTTTTCTCTTTGTTCACCATCCGTCTTATTTCATTTAATCTATCCTGGAAATACATATACCTATTACCTATTTTGTTGATACTATATTAAGATAATGAAGTAAAGAAGTAAATATATATGAAGGAATCATAATGTTCCTTTAAGTAACTTACTTGAGATGCTTGTAAAACATTAAGTACAACAGTGACTTTGTGTTTACAAGCTATAAGTTTCTTCACATACGGATCTAAATCTGGATGATTATTAAGAGCCTCTCTAACTTTAAGTAGTTCTTCATTTAAAGAATCTATCTGTTGCTTCAACTCCAATTGTGAGATTCTGAAAATATTGATTTTGGAAGTAACAAATACTGAAAGCATACACACTTATACAACACGCATATAGTTTTTAAACTTTAGTCTAGTAAGGGGATGTCAAATAATGAATATCATGTTAAATAAATAATAAATAGAATATTTTTCTTTCGCATTAATACCCGGCGCAATTCATTATGTTATAGATTTTCGCCCCAACAAGGAATTTCCCGTTTTAGGAAGTCAAATTAATCTTACCTCGTAGCTCTAACGCGATCGTCGAGTTGGTCTACAGTAGGTTTCAGGAGCCCTAATAATCCTTCTGCTAACGTGTCTCTTGTAGGATTGTCACACAAATTGCCTGTATTTTCGTCGGCTGATGTAGTTGTACTTTCTGTGTCGTCCATGGCTTTTAGAGAATAAACTATAACATCTTAGGATCTGACTATTAAGTAATTGCCAAAAATCTATATGTATTTAATTTTCAATTCATTAGTTTATTTATTTAAACGCGATATATGTTAACCAAAAATATGATAACATTTCCATAGAGCACAAAATAATTACAGAATCATTCATTTTCATTCGATGCGTTATCGATACTGAAGGAACATATTCTTATGGTAATTTTCTTTTACAAACTCAAAAAAATATCAATGATTATATAAAATTGATTACGAAACTTGTAACAAGTTTAAAGGGCAATCATTTTGAATTATTTTGATTGCATTCTTGTTTATAGTTCAAAGAAAATATAAAGTTTTTTTCCTGTTTTATATATTTATTTTAATTTTTAAGAAATGGTGTCTAAAACATCCTTTTCTGAACATATTATTTAGGAAATAAAATAATAGGCCTACGTGCATTGATATTATTATAATATATTGTAATGAGCTGAATAAAGTCCCGAAGATTACGCTGTAATGCTAATATAAGCGTTTACTTTCTACATTTAGTAACAGATTATATAAATGTGAAGCTTATTTATTTACATACAATAGAAACGCCTATTATGATAACAGAAGTTATTAAATGAGAAACACACGGTTTATTAAAATATGTAGATGGAATTTTTATATTTTTTTGTTTTTCTTAATAACACTGATAAACGGTATTGACCGCACACACACAAACACAGATTATTTATAAAAATATATTACAACAATAATTCAAATAAGGAATGAGTAATTTTCATAAGATTAAAACAAAACATTATATTGGAGTATGGAAAATAAAATTGTTATAACTTTCAATAAAATATTTATTTTCTACTCAGTATAATATATTTTACAGCTTCTTGACCATTATCTAATACCTAATTGTGATATTTTGCATTGTACATTATAGAATTTTCGATATGTAAAGTCTGTTTGATTTATTCCGTCATAAATTATTAAACTCTATAAACTGACGTTTATTCGTCATTTCCATATGATTCTTTTTAACGATCGACTTATACTAATGGAAATGCCTTAGAGATGAGAATTGTGGCACTCCGAAAGAAAGAGAGGAAACGAAGTTTCGGTCTATCTTTATCTCTCTCAAAATAGTACCGTACCTATGAGGAAAGAGATAGTGCTAGACCGAAAGCATAGGCCGTCTCTCTCACTCTTTTCAAACCAAAAAATTACTGCAGATTATACGCGTACGGCATGTCCATTAGTATATCTCGATGTTTTTAACCTATAGGAACAAAGCCGTGAAGGTATCTATCTTAACAAACTATTGAGCAACTATTACTATGTGAATCTATCAGTTCTGTATAATTAAAACTATGTTCTTCTGCATTAAATAACTGAAATCTATATAAGTTTGTATAAAATACATTTATTAACATGTAAAATGAAATTAAACTACAGGAACGATGTCGTGAATTTGTTTTAGTTGTATACTGTTATTTCTTAGCATTTTCAATAAAAAATATACTAAATTGTCTATGGTAAAGGAGAATGTTAACATTGTAAATGAGCTATATTAAATTGTTTTCTGTATGTAGACCATCACACTAGCTTTGATAAAAATCTATCTAAAAAGATCAACAATAACTTATAATGTATCCATAAGCATACGCATTTGTTCTTTAACATGGTTTTCCATGTCGGAAAAATCTTTTAACACTTCCTCGATCATTTCAACGAATATCGTCGGCCATTGTAGTTCGAGTGTTCTAAGTCTAATGGCGGCCCCACAAGCTAGATCTATGGCGTGCGATAGCTGACCGCGTCCGCGTACCCGCCAATTCATATCCTCCTATATAAAATAAATATTAAAAATACATGATGTAGAATTTATAATAATTTTTTCAGCTCGTTTTTTTTGAAATGACTAGGATTAATAGTTGCTAAAGAAAAATAAGCACACAGATTATATTAAAAAAATATCCTTAAATTAAAGAGTTCCTATATTTATTATTTAATTAAGACTTACATAGAGTGGAAATTTATAAAAGGTTATATATTACCTGTGACACGTGACTTTTCTTATATTGCAAAGCCTCTTTCGCGATGACGTCTCTTAATGCGGGGTCAGCGGCCCTCAGCCAGGCCTTGGCACTGATCGTACTGTTCCTACTTTTACCTAATCTTGATAGCAATGGTTGTAAGGGAGCGTCTGGGAGTGCACGGAGAACAATATCACTGAGGCCAGCATACGTTTCATTGGCAGATTTGATTTCTTCATCTGTCACCTGTTTGTTTAAAATAATGGCATCATTTCAGGAGATGAATGATAAATACCTATTAATATTAAAGAAGTATTCGAATAAAAATATAATGTTGATTGTTTTTCTAGAGTATTTGTGTTTATAACGACATTTTACCGTTTCGCTATTAATCTCTTTAAGGCCCCAGTGGGCGAGTCTATATATAGAGTATTCCCGCCATGTTTTGACACATATAGGGTTACCCTCCGGCATTACTGTTAACGATGTTAGTCCCCGCAGTTCAGCCAGAGCGTGTAATTGGCCCAAATTCTGTAAACCGGTGGCCCGGACGGATAAGGAAGTGACATTTGGAAACCTGTTTGGAGAATAAAGATAATATGATTGTTAAGGATGAAGTACAACTTATTTGTTTTCTATAAATGTTATATTTAGCTATACTTACTTAGCTTTAAGTTCCGGTAGGCATTGCGCAACGGCATTAAAATGCACGTAATGGAAAGCTGCGTGATTGACAGTCTTCGCTTTCTCCCATTCCCAGTCTCTAGCTAATCGTCTGACTGCGCCCGCGCCCCACGCACTGACCACGCCTTCACTGACTTCTATCAGATAATCGACTCCTTGTTCTCGATCCTTCGGTGGAACTGGCTTCATTGGTTCCGAGTACTTCATATTGGCTATAGTTTTTGTTGACTTGGCTCTGGCCGTTGATGCTCTGTGAGCAGATGAAGCGCGCTCATTTCTTCGTGTAATTGTGGCGCTGCGGATATTTCTGTTCGGTCTCCCATTTAATGAGCCTTGCCGCTTAAGAGTCTTACTATTGTTATCACTCCCAGATGTCGAAGATGTGCCAACGGAACCGAAATTCGTGCAAGAAGATATATTGCTAGCGTTTTCGCTGTCAACGTTTTTGTTTGTCTTAACTCTCCTGCTTTCTGGGTCGCAGACTGATTTTGATCGTGCCGTACTAAAATGTTCACGTCTCTTCAATACCGTTGGGACTCTGCGGAATTGTCTCTTAATGGTCTCCTCATCGCTGTCACTGGTTGATGATTGTAGGGAGCTAAACGACGAATCTCCCACTGGTTCTACGCTGGATATGCTCTCCCACCTCTTTAGGATAGGTTCTGAACTGTCTGTTAACTTAACATTTTCTAATGATGATATTATTGGCAGTAAGATCGGAGGGAGACGCAAGTCACTGCTAGTGGATGTTGAGTGAGAAGCGTCCGTTTCTTGGGAGGCGCTCCGTTCTGAGAAGTTAACTCGTCTTTCAGATGGCTTCCGAGCAGTTGAACTTCGTTGGAGTTTCTTTGTCGGCACTGATTTTGTGTTTGTACTATCATGAACAGTTTTTGTTTTTATTTCATTATTATTTCTGTTGCCTTTATCAGGTTCTGGGACCTCGAGGTGTTGAGTTGAAGCTATTAGATCGGGAGTGCAGACTGTCTCTACTGTTTGTGTTGCATCGTTCTGTGTACCTTTTGATAATGGAGGCTCAATTTGTTTTTCATCTTCATTTTGTTTTGTTGGTGTTGTGGCGGGAATGAAACACTTATTTTCTGATCTGAAATTTACAGTTTTGAGCTGTACCTATTAAAATTTAACTGAATTTTCATATAATGTTTTCAAATTCTACCACATATAATATTTATTTTGCAATTTATCCCTGCATTATACTTATTCTAGCCCATAAAACCTATGAAATGTAAAGTAAACTATTTTATTCAGGTCAGTTACCTAAGTAGTTCCCAATTAGTTCTTGCGTTGTGTATAATTTGGTCTCTTCTAGCGGCCTGCTGTGCCGAGCCACTGAGAGCACAGTACGCTGCGTGAGCTGCTTCTTTATTACTGCGCCAGGCCATAGCTGCTTGACGTACCTTCATATAACATAATTTGGAACAAATTACTATTAAAGGACGAATATCTACTTCAATATATCTATAAAAGAATCTGTTATTCTTTGATGATCATTTGAGTACATTGAGAAAGTTCGAGAAGAAATATTAAACCTTTTCTTCCTACCTGCTCACTAACATGCATGTTCGTCAATGTAACTAGATTAGGGAGATAGGAAACTAGAAAGGGCGTGCAATCCCCGCCCAATGCTACCGGATTTCCATCCAAAGATACATCCACTAGCGATGTTGCTTCAGCCAATGAAGCTACGTCTTCGATACTAAAAAGAAATCAACCTCATTATAGGAGTTTGACATTTATAGTTTTCAATATACACGCAGCATACCTTTGCAAGTCATTATTTCCAAGATACAACTTCTGCAGCTTCAGAGTGTTTTGAAATCCAAGCAGTTTCCTTAAGCGGTTACGTTTCAAGTTTAACTCTCTCAACGAGATCAGGCCTTGGAGATCTGACGGTGCCATACTTTTAATCTGATTACCCGCTAAATTGAGCACCTTTAATTCGCTCTGATTCGACAATCCCCCAACTTTAGTTATCCGATTACCGTGTAAATCCAGAACCTCCAATTTTATAAGGTTGGATAATCCTTCAATTCTTTTTATTCTGTGGAATTATATTATAAGTATTATATTATATTATAAGTAATTATGTCATTATTGTCAAATGTGATAAGTTAGAATATTTTTACATAATAAGTACCTATTCTTTCCCATAAGCAGCACTCTTAAGCTGAAGAGTCTATCAAGCGATGATATTTTATCGATCTGGTTGTCGTAAACGTCTAGAAAAACTAATTTACTTAAATCAAGCGGTGACAGACCAGAAAGGGTGTTAATCAAATTATGTTGTAACGAGAGCAATCGCAAGCCTGGCTCGCCAACGATATGTGGTATTGATGAGAGACCCCGTCTGTAAATTAATGGTTAAGTTTGAGAAATGCTGAAAATATTTTAGTCTACAATAATCAATAGACTAGATGAACAAAATATTAGAAAGTATTCTTATAATAAAATATCAAGGATGTCACCTATCAAGACTAATCCTATCCGGAAGACGATCTTTTTCCTGTGGGGTGCGTGATAATTGTACTTTGCCTTCTCCAACAGCCTGTAGTCCATTGCTATCGTCTTTAGGATCTTCTTTGCATAAATATGAGTTACTATGGATATTAAAACAAATATATTAGTTTCTCAAGTTGTTTTTACGATTAGTCATGAAAGTAATACTTATAATATAATATGTATATTTATTTTAATTACCCCGATAAAGTTGAATTAGATCTTTGTAATACAGCATGACGTGGATCAGCCAGAGCAGGTCGAATTTGTAGAAATAACCTACCATCACCTCCTGCTCCAGAGTCCACGCGTGGACCGCTGACATCAAGGGATTGAGCTAATATACCTCTGGTACGAAAACCAATTTTTCTTACCTAAAAACATTTAAAAAGTCCCTGTAAAATATCTTATATTATAACTTAGCAAATGACTGTTATGAGACTTACATTTCCGCGGTTATACGTTATAGGCATTAGATTAACAATTAAATGAACATCGATATAAAATTTAATCTCGATTTGGCCCCATTTCCTGTCACTTTCACTTCAATAAAATAAATTCGTAAAAAGGCAGTTTTGGTCCATTTTATCATAATCTTAAACTGTTGCTAAGTAACTAAAAAACAGCAAAAATATTTTAACGCCCCTTAGAGGGCTTATCCAGTCAGATTTCTTAAATTTATAACAAAAATATTTTAGTATCCTTTATACTAAAATAACAAGTCTATTTTTAAAACCTATTCTCCATAATTGTTTATTAAGAATTAATCTAAATACAAGATTGTCAACTTTAAAGAAATTTCCACAACCCTGAGCCGTCAAAATTGTCAACTTCAAATGTCAACCGTAAAATGGAAAAGAAGAAAATAAAAACAATGGAACAGACAAATTTTCGAAAGTGATGTTTGTGACTTTGTGCTTTAGTCGAATATTTCTGAGCCAACAGTTTGAATGAGTTGTTAAGTCAAGGAAGTAATTGATGAACAAATTATTCTCCAAAGTATTCCCAATTCGTACCATTGGTAAATTATTATCGTCACTTACTCCTGGAATAAAAATGGTGCGATACTTTCCGAATCCTTATGAGGACTATAAGTCGGGAACTAACTTGAATATTGAAAAGGAGGAGGTGTTGACCCAGATAAATGAACATATTAAGAATATTACCAAGCGCATTCAGCCAAATCGTAAAAATGTTGAAGGTGGCTTATATGTCGGCATTACGGGAATATCGTATATGTTTTATTACTTATCGCGAAATCCCTTACTATCGGAAATGAAGACTGAGTATATAGCAAAAGGACTCGATTATCTTGCACCGGCATTAGAAACGTCAGCCGGCGATAAAACTTCATACCTTCTTGGCGACGCCGGCACCTTCGCTCTAGCGACTGTTTTAAAAAAAGAAATGGGTGATGAGGAGTTCACCCATAGTTTAAAAACATATAAATCTCTGTACAACTATTATTTGAACCCAAAGTTTTTAAAATGCGGAGGGGACGAGTTTTTCGTCGGTCGTGCCGGCTATCTAGCCGGAGCTCTGTGGATAAGTCGCGAGTTGAAAACTGAAATATTCACTCCGGAGGAATTGTATAAAATTTGCGACATAATCGTCGCATCTGGTCGTCAATTCGCATCGGCACACAATAGTCCTTCACCGTTAATGTATCATTATTACAATACTAAATATTTGGGAGCAGCTCATGGTAGTAGTTTCATTCTGCAAATGCTCCTATCTGTACCTGGTTATTTGGAGTACAATAAAACTGCAGCCCAGGATATAAAGAGCACAGTTGAGTTCATAGCGTCTTTACAAACGGAGGAAGGGAATTGGCCTTGTTGTATGGAGGAGGTTGGTTTATCTGATCATAAGTTAGTTCATTGGTGTCACGGAGCTCCTGGTACTGTTTATTTGATGGCCAAAGCATACCTGGTGTTTAAAGACCAGAAGTATTACAATGCCTGTGTAAGGGCTGCAGAACTTGTATGGACTAAAGGTCTCCTCCGTAAAGGTCCAGGATTATGCCACGGTGTGGCCGGTAATGGCTATGTCTTCTTGCTTCTTTACAGATTATCGGGTGATGACAAATATCTTTATAGAGCTAAGCTGTTTGCTGATTTTATGAATACTGAGGATTTCATGCGGGATGCCCGACTGCCTGATAATCCGGAGAGTTTGTATGAGGGTACGGCTGGGACAGTCTGCTTTTTATCGGACCTCCTTGTCCCAGACAAGGCAGAATTCCCTTTCCAAGATGTATTCTCTACTTATGTTTATTAAAATTTCTATATAGGCAGTATTGAATTGTGTGATTTAGCTTATAAAATTTAATACCATATATGAACTAATTGGATAATATTTTCGTTAAGTTTTAAATTATTAGAAGTTGGTGATATTTTAAAATAAGCATATAAATAATTATATGGATTTTTTTTTTGCACAGGGAATGTAAAGAATTAATTACTAGGCACAAAGTTGTCTAATCTGTAAGGTTCTCATGGAAAGAGGTTTTATAATGTGAAGTCTAGGATTCTAACAATAGGCTGTAGAGACAATTTGTGACATGTAAAAGCATAATTTATTCAGATACAATTTTCTTGTCAACAACAATACTAATTATAAATAAATAATGAAAGCCATTGTTGTCATTTGACAGTAGTTTGTCAAAGTCCTTTTAATTTTTATAATAAACTTTGAAATTGATTTTTTGTTTTATTATTACCTATATTATTATTTTTATATAATCTAAATTTAATTCTACAAACCTAAAGATTGGCGATATGAAATAGGGTTTTACATAAAAGTTTGTATTTTTTTGTTATCTATGTATTTTCAACGTACTTTTCACTGAATTCGAGTAATCTTTTTGAATTAAATGGTTTATTTTCATATTGGGGTAACATACATTTAAGATCTAATTATATTAGGGAGAGGAGCTTTAACAGTGACTTGCGACCCAGGTGTAGGTTTAGGGGGGGCCCTATCTACGGCTGATTTTTAATATAATTTTTCGAAATCATATTTTTTAATCAAATATATTGAAACAGAAACAAATATAACAGGATTGAAGCCAAAATGATTAGTTTTGCTAAAGGTTTTAACTGACCACAATAACATTTTAGATGGAACATCAAAGTTGAGGTTGGAAAAAAAATTAAGCTGATTGGAGTTCAAAGCTAGTGACTTAACACGAATTATGAATTAAAAAAAATACATATTCTTACATTCCAAAAGCCGATTATTTCGTTATTAAGTCATGAAGAAAAAATCATTTTGTATGAAAAGAATCTTTCATACAAAAATCATTTTGTATGAAACGAATCTTTCACCGAGTCAGTCTTTTTGTTTGATAGCAGTTTTCTGGGGTGGTATTTATGAAAAAAAAAAATCACCTTCATCAGAATATCCGACCCATCTGCTGAGTAAAGGCCTCTTCTCGCATGGAAAAGGTTAGAGCATTAATCACCATGCTTGTTCAAGGTGGATTGGCTATTTCAAACTTATAATTTGAAATTATAAGTACCTATGTCTAGGTTTCATTACGATGTTTTCCTTCACCGTCTGTCAGTGGTGTCTAAATACTCTTAGAAAGTACATATTACTTTAACTCGGAAAAATCACATTGGTATTTGCTAGGTTTCGAACCAGCGCCCTCATGCTGCATGCATGTGAGGCGGGCCTTTAACCACTATTCCACTACGACTTAAAAAAAATTGATCTAAAAAATGAAAATTTTAGAGCCAGAAAATGAAACCCATGTCCAAAACACTATTCGTCTCAAAAACGTTGAAGTCGCTTTACTGAACTTACACCGATAGCTTTCTTTTCAAGCTAATCGAGAAAAAAAAAGCGATGGATCATCGCCTAATTAACTAGACTATAAAAACAATATAATATGTATTTACTTACTATTGCTTCTTTACAGATCTCAAAAATATATACATAGATGTATAACCCATACCATTTCGATAGTTCGAAAGTGAAGGATAATTTCATTGATAAAAGTAATTTTTATTTACATGACGAGAATAAACATATCTTATTCTACAAGAAAAAAAAGTTACAACTCAAGTTTAACTTTCTTTAAAACAACTTTTTCATAGCCGTTACGAAAAAGTATTGTAGTTATTTATTATAATTTAAATTTATGGTCATTAAGAATACTATTAACAAGAGAAGTGCAAAAGAAACTAAAAATATATTTGGTTAGATTAGAAATATGGTACTTAAAAACATTCCTCTTATTTAGATATCAGGATTTTGGTAATTTTTTTATCATTTTGTTTTCTGACATATAAACAACATAATATGTATGTAGTTTTATTGTTCTTGTATAAAATTGTACTATAAAATTAATTGATAAACTCCGACTCAAACATTTCTTGTTATAAATTGTAAACATTTATTTAAATAAAACGATAAAAGTGTCCAGCTGTGCTTGTGTCATGGGGAAATTTGGATAGATACCAATTAAATTGGTTAAGTTTTATATCTTAGACAATTTTTTAATCCTAATTAGAAAAAGGTTGTATCATCGTGAGAAGTAAAGCTTTAACAAAAAAAAGGCTTTGTTTTCTGGTATATGTCTTGCACATACATATAAAATTTAATTAATTAATGTTCAGTAATTAAAACAAAACAAAGCAGACGAAGTCACGGGTAACAGCTATTAAAAAATATATTCCTACTACTGAACTATTCTGACTTAATAAGGATGCAGATGGATTTACTTTTGTAAGAATATTTGTGATTTGAAAAGTTGTTTTAATGACGTGGCAGGCATAAATCATATGTAGGATTTATAAGTTTGGAAATGTGCGTAGAGAAGGAATATATTATTCCGGTATTAATAAATTGAGTAAGTTATAGATTCTGGAAAATAGTGATGCACATGCGCATTTCTTCATTTTAAATGATCGTTGCAATCATGGCTGCTTCGGAGGCAAACTCTCAATCCGGGAAAAATAATAATAGGTAAGATAATATATTATTATTTTAATATATCTGGCCATCGTCGCTTATAAATATTCTTATTATATGTATATATATTTTAAAACTATATGAACATCTATAATTATGGTATTAAAAACAAGATGCAATCTAAGACGCAATTTTCTCGTTTTGCAGTTTAAACGGGAAGATGAATAATCTTATGCTTGAAGATGAATTTCCTCTCGAAAACGATGGTGAGAGGATTTGTGAGAAGTGTTGTCTCATTAAAAAACCACGGCATTGCAATGATGATTCAATTTATCTTATTCACATTCTGTTTGCTTGCTACTTTATACTCATCCTGGTATTAAACAATCTATTGGAGGTCTTCTGTCCAAAATGCAATTTCTCTGCAAGATTCAGCGATTAGATCCTTGTGGAGATCATTTTTCTTGGTTGCAGCAGTAGATGCTTAATTAAAACGCGAAATATTATTTTACTATTACGCTGACATATGATTATATAAATAAAATCTATTTTTTGATCTGCGATAGTGCTTAATTGATGAATAAAGATTTTATTTTGCAATCGATTATTATTTCATATCAACCTCTAAATAAACTATAGCTGGTAAGCTTATTTATATATATCGCATTGCAATTATATTAAATAGTATTTCTTTGCTTTGTGTAGTATTTTTATAAAGAAAATGCTTCCTATGAAATAATAAGTAATAATATGTAACTGGATTCAGAGTTGTTAATTTTTAATATTTCTCTCTAGTTTAATAACTGTAATTAATTTAACCAATTTTTATATACGCAGTAAAAGTGTTCTCTACTGAAGCTATCATATAATAGCTTATTAATTTTGTAAAACAGTATCCATTATGATAATAATATCATCAATATATAACTATCACTTCTAACATGCATCTACAATTTTCTTGTCAACGTTACTCGATAAAATGTCGAACCTACATTGAATGGACATCATTTTTTAAAAAACATTCAAAGCTGATATTTGAAAAATGTTATTGTTTTATTTTATTTTTCTTTTAAACTCACTCCACGTTATAGCATCGCCAGTTATAATAGATATTTTAAAACTAAAGAGCATTCAAAATTGCATCATCATCAATTGTAATGAAAATCATGAAGCTATATTATTGGAAAAACTATTACTAAAGAATAATTTTAGAATATCCACAGTTAGATCTGATTTTAAATTTAAATACTTCAGCCAATACGGTCGTTCGAAAATTGGTTTTGTCTTGGACACGTCTTGTGATTTGTGGTATGAAATTTTTGACAAAATAGATAAACGAATGCTTAGTGGCTCTCACACTTGGTTGATACAAACCAATGATCTTTCTGGAACGATAAGTTTTCTATCGAAATACCCGATCGAGGTCAATTCAGATTTTATAATTATTTCAAAAGATTCTGTTACCAACATTTTTTATTTACATGAAATATATAACAAAGGATTCGATACAAACGGTTCTTCTGTGGTTAAGAGTTTAGGTTATTTTGAAACACGTCTGTCTATGAAACGAAATAGTCGCATGGATTTATCAGGAGTGGTGCTAAAGTGTGTTGTAGTTGTTCTGGACCCAGTTGTGAATCAAACATTCGAACAATACTTGGATAACACGAAACCAGGGATAGTAGATTCTTTGCACAAGTTGAAATTTTATGTATTAATGAAATATTTAGAGGATTTATGTAAATTTAGGTAATAAAGCATAAATCATTTTTATTTATGAGACGAAATCTTTAAGTAAAAGTTTGTGTTATTCAAAAGGTATAAATTACAAAGAACTAATTCTTGGGGTTACCTACGGAACGGCAGTTTTGACGGCATGGTAGGGGCTCTGCAGCGTCATGAAGCAGATATCGGTGGTACACCAATCTTCTACCGTCCAGATCGCGCCAAGTTCATCGATTATACCACACCAACATGGCAATCAAGGTAACTAAAAGCGACTAAACATAAGGTAACTAAAAGGTACTAAAAGCGACAAATAAAATATATTGTATATTTTAACCCATGGAAGGATTATTCTCGACTAAATGTTTTCTTTAATTTACTAAGTTACAATTAATCAAAATGTATCAATAATAAAAATCTTAGCATTATTTCTATTGAGATATAAACTATATAATTGTTATTTGTTAAAAACTTTTGAGTTAATACTGGGTGGCGCAAAAGTAAAGACCCTATTTGGTTCAGCTATAACATTTTTTCTAAATGAGAAAACTAGATTTAGGTTTAATGGCACAAATATACATTTAAAAAAACCTAAATCCAGTTTTCTCATTTAGAAAAAATGTTATAGCTGAACCAAATAGGGTCTTTACTTTTGCGCCACCCTATATATCATCGTCTCAGTGACAGTTAGAACCAAAACTATTTCTTAACTTTTGCAGGCCCTGTTTCATTCTGCGTCACCCTAAATACCCTGGTGGTTTTTATTCTATTTATACGAGACCGCTAACAACCACTGTATGGTACAGTATTATTGGTCTCGTTATTTTAGCTGGTACGATGCTCTGTGTCATGTTGAAATTGAATCTTCTCAAGGAACCTGGTGATGATGAGGATTCCTCCACATCCATGGCCTTTTTATTCATATTTAGCGCTCTCAGCCAACAAGGTGTTGTGTAACATAGTTGGTTTTTTAATGTATTTAATTTTAATCTCACTGATAGAGATGTTTAAGCTCTGATGCGAAAAGAAAGGTGTTTTAAATTTGACGTCGATCTCTTTGTGGGCATGCTTGTGTGTGTATACTGCTCTTAAACATATTATTGACTGATTTTGTTACATTTTTGGTAAATATATTTTCTGTATAACTGTTAATTAACGTAAGAGTTTCTTGAAAATTAATATAAAATATATTATAATTTATAAGCTATTTTGTGGTATATGTTGTTATAAAAAAATGCCGTCACCGTTTCTAGTTAAATATAGTTTTTCTATTTTTTTATTTCAGGCACTACCGTTATAAGAGGCGCAACATCTATAAAAGTATTAACTTTCGTAACTTTTGTATTTTCTCTTACGTTGTATCAATATTACAATGCAACAGTTGTTTCGACGCTACTACGAGAGGCGCCGATCACAATAAAAACTCTCAAAGACCTGTTGAATAGCAATCTTAAGGCGGGGGTAGAAGATGTGTTGTATAATAAAGACTATTTCAAGGTTGGTTGTAAAAATATATTTAATTTAAATCAGGTTTAAGTCGTAAATTATTTCGGGAAATTAAATTCCAGCGTACGACCGATCCGGTAGCCTTAGAAATTTATCACCAGAAGATCGTCAATAGCCATCATTACAATTTCTTTACGCCTGAATATGGTATGGTTTTGGTGAAACGAGGGGACTTCGCATTCCACGTGGACAGTGTGACCGCTTATCGTATAATGAGGAAGACGTTCAGCGAAAGGGAAATATGCGACGCCCATGAGATCCAGCTGTTCCCGCCGCAGAATATGGTCGCTGCTTTACCTAAAAATTCACCTTATAAAGAACATGTTACTATTGGGTAACTATTATATTTGTTTATAGATATAGTTTTGTAAACCAGTCAATTTAAAGCTTTAAATATGTTATTGTATGGGACTACTAAGTGTGTGAATTGAATCGAGTACGTCAGCTTTTCGGTACCAAACCCTATTTTTGGACCTGGGATCTGTAATCTGCCTCTAAATTAGAAATTAATGTCTGATTTTGTTTTTGATAAAAAACCAATCCAGATAAATGGGCTATTGAATAAAGATAATCTTGACTTGATGGGTATTCGGTTGCAAATTTTTATTTTTATGTCAAAGGTGGCAAACGAGCAGACGACCTACTTGATGGAAGGTGGTTACCATCGCCCATGGACATCCGCATTATCTTTGTTGCGGATGCGTTGTCAACCTTGTTTTTTTTAGGGATAGGGGGGCCATCCCCCCCTATCCCTAAAAAAAATAATAAGGAAATGGTAGGAAAGGGTGGGAATGGGGAAAGGGCAAAAGTTCATCTCCGTGGATGAATGACATGAGTCACCACTCTCCAGTATAGCGTTCCCCTCACTTCATTCAATAATGATGCGAGTTTAAAAGAATTAATTTTAAAGGAATAAAAGAAAACTTTAAGAAAATCTCAATCATCAAATCAAAAGAATAGCGAAGAAACTAAAACGTTGTGTAATTGGTTGAGATTACCACAGTCGAGATACCTAAATATTAGTTGCATCTTTTTGACACATAAATGGCTGTTGCTTATCACCATTACTATTATAAAGTGTCAGAAATATTTCTTAATAAATACTTCAATAAAAATTCAAATAGATTGTATTGAATATAATTTTTTTTACGCTAAGAAGGAATCGAAGTAGTTGAAAAATAAAATTCATGTTTTCTATTACAACTTTTAAATTTCAGAACGTCATATTAAGTTTAGTAGGTTAAAGTTTTATTACTATTATATGTCAGCGAGATGTTTGTCATTTTCTTTAATTACATTGTCATTTGAAATCTGTATAATGTATATTAATTTGAGAACAGTATGAAACACTGAATAATTGAGCAACCAACGAAGCACTTTTTTTTGTAGATTTTAAAACATAGTTTTTTTTTCAGAATAAGGAAAATCTATGAAGCTGGTTTAATGCATAGATTAAAATCAGTGTGGGACGAACCGAAGCCTCCTTGTGTTCGCACTCCAGATGCCAGCATATTTTCCGTCAACATAAGAGAATTTTCTATGGCTTTAGTACTTCTTGCTTTCGGTATCGCTTTATCCGTGGCGATACTGATCGGAGAGATAATATTTTACCGAACTAATATAAAACGTATAGAATTTAGACTTTAATAAAAACTTTTTTCACAGCTTTGTTATATTAAATTCGCACTGGCCAGTAATAACAGGTTATTTGTGTAATTAAAAAAAAACAACATTTTCCTTTCTGTTTATTATTTGAATATAACCTTCAATACACTTAAATTCAAGTGGTTTTTGGTGAAAAATTACAAAGTTCAAAATCTTGGATAGGTATTAGCGTAATTCATCGTATGCTTCAACCGTTAGGCCCGAAGGGTTTCTGGGTACGTTAAAACAATAGGCCTTGGATGTACGAATTACTTTAGCGAAAAATATATTTGATATGAGATTATGATTTGAAGTTGATTGGGATATAAAATAATAAAGAAATTATATATTTAAATTAACTAGATATTACTCATTGCCAGCCCGAATTATGAAATGGGCGAACATTAGTAACTTTAAAAAAATATCTAATTCGTATGTACTAATAAAAATAGTTTTGTTATACTAGTGCGAAACAGGCAAATGCTGTTTTCGTAAAGCCAATTGCTATGTTTGATAGAAGGAAATTAAGTTATTATAAGACTTATCGCGTAGCAATGTGAGGTAATATGGCTCTGAAGCAGAAATCAGGATGGCATTGAGGTAAAGAATATTTGACATTACCCGCCAACACAATTTATTATCTGTATCTATCTGACGTTTGTTTTTTAAATTATGGACGAAGACTGTAGGAAAAGAGGTTTGTTATCGATAATTTTCGTAGATAAAAAAAAATCACTACCGCTCTTCGCATTAACCAAACTATGATATATTTTAATTATTTTAATTCACATACAATACCATTTATACAAATATAAACTAATATTTAATCAGCTGCAAGTTTATTCACATATACAACTCACCGGGAATCGTTTAATGAAAATAAAAACCAGCTTATGGAATCCTACGAGCGACGACACGGTAAACGTACTAGTCTCACATTCCAATACATTAAAATTAACTAAAGCAAATTAAAAATATCATTAATCCTTCGCAGATTTACAATTCCATAGCCATAATACTTAAAAATTTTCTGCCAAACCATTTTGTATATGAATTTAATATAAATTTGATTACATTTTTCGTTTATAGAAAAAAAAATTTAAATTAAATTAAAATTCATGACACAATGAGCATATGCGACGTTTTTCTGTAGTCTTATTTTTCTTCCAGTGTGTACGTGGCCTTATTGTATAACATATAATCGTGAAACTGGTCCGTTCTTGTATAATTTCCATTCACCGCTCCTCCAACATAACGGTCTCCTGCGGATATAGCTTTAACGCTTTCAATGTGCTGCTGTGAGATTCCATCGTCAGCTGGAACAATTACATAGAAAATATTAATATAATACTATTCACTGTTAAGTATATACGAAATATATTTTAGAATGTATGGACATATGATTTATGTCAGAGTCTAAAGTTTTATTATTTACGATGATAAAAGAAAAAAATCCGAACACATCAGAAGAAATATGTTTTGAGATGAGACATGGTTGCGTGTAAATTTATAATAATACTAGCTTTCCGCCCGCAGCTTCGCCCGCGTCGAGTTCGGTTATATCGCCTTTCCAAGAGAACTTTTCAAAAGTCTGGGATAAAAACTATCCTATGTTCTTTCTCAAGGTCAACTCTATCTCTGTACTAAATTTCATTAAAATCAGTTCATTGGTTTAGGCGTGAAAGCGTAACAGACAGAAAGAGTCACTTTCGCATTTACAATATTAGTAGGGATACTCACGTCTCTTCTAGGCCAGCTAGCTATTACTTTGTAGTTCTCCTGTGGGTAACCCTTTGACGCGAGGAAGTCTAATAACGCCTGTGAACATTTTATAGCAATGGTAATAAAACATTGATATAAATAATTTAATTCAAATATTGAACGTCCATTTGTGTGCATGTGTGGGTCAGTCTAGTATGTGTATACTGTTAGCTGTACATATATGTGTGTGTGTGTGTGTGTGTGCGTGTGTGTGGGTGGTATATAAGGACGTTGCGTACCGCGAGCGTGTCAGTCGCGTTGAACCGTCGCTCGAGACACTCGTGGTGTGGCGGCGGTAGTCTGACTCTCACGCGGGCCACGTCCGCAGCACCCGCCGCCGGTTCACACGGCACCCGGGCTGCGGCACCGGCACGCTGTTTCTGAGATACAAAACGAACGATTCGTTATATAAAAGCTAAATCTTACTAATATATAATCGATTCCTTAGTACCTAGACCTATATTGAAGTGGTACACTTAATAAAAGAGAAATTTTACAGTAGATATTAAATATTTAGTCTATATTTGACACCTAGAGCGTTACCTGTGTGTTTCAGCTATTATTTTTAATAAAAATAATATCAATAACACGTTTTAACGTCCGTTCTCAGTCCACATTTAATAAACTCACCTCTTTTTTGGCTTCCTCCATAAGTCTTTCTAACTCCGCTCTCTCTAATTCTTGATTTCTTTCTAGTTCTTGCTGTTTTTTAATTTCTTCTTTCGCTCTAGAAAACAAATATATCATGAAAATGTTTGTTGACATCACATACAACAATGAATATAAAAGTAGTAAAATAAACTAATCTATTTTTATATAGTACACAAACCTATCCCCAACACTTTTATTCTTTCCCATCACTACTTACAAGTACAAAGCCTATCAAAATCAGTTTATGCAATCCCATGACTTCAGTCCTAATATCTTGCCTTACAGTTAACGTGAATGTGTCAGTATTAATTTACAGTCAGGTTTGAGTATTGTTACTATCACATATCGTCGGGATAGTGCAAATCCGTATAACTATCATTGGATAATTCCGCGTGTCTACATTGGAAGCAGATTATCAGAAGAAATTTTGAGCTGAAATATTTTCCATAATAACGACTTTCAAGGTAATTTTTTTACAATTTGTAATAAATTAAACACTAAATAATTACTAATTGCGAAAAAATTACCTTAAGTTATTATTAGAGAAAATCTTCTTCTACCTGGATATTTCCCAGCTTTAGCCGGGGTCTGCCTTACGTGTTGTGAATAGTTTTGGCTAATTGTTTTTTACGACCGGCCGCCTGCCTGACATCAACCCTCTTTTGGGAATCAGCATTAATCAGTGATGTCGAAATATTCTTAGAAAGTACATATGACTCGGTAAAATCACATTGGTACTTGCCCGGGCTAGGATCGAAACCGCGCTCTCGGCAACGAGAGGCAGGCCTTTTATCCATTAGGCCATCACTGACTCATATGCGGATTTGCACTATCCCTTTCGATATACAGGGTGACTGGTGAATTTCTATCGATATTTGAGGACGTGATATTTGACGATCATATATGACAACATAAAAATTAATATAACATAAATATTAATAAACTTCTAAGTGAAGTTAACCAAAAGTTATTTAATTAATTACGCATCGTATGAACACCCTACAGATTAGGTATACACACACACTCACACAGACGCGGCGGCGGCGTAGTGTTGTATCAGCACGCCGCCGCACGCTTCCACACTTGGAACACGTGGAACGTGTACACACTTTATTTATTTATACGGAAATTTGGTCAAAAATTAAGTACCTATTTTTTTTACATAATTCGAATGAGAATCATGTACCGAGTATGCTCCTTAAATATTGATAGTAATTCACCAGTCACCCTAGTATATACCAACCTGTCCGCTTCTAGACTCCGCTGGTATGCTTCATCCTGCTCTCTCTTGACCTTCTGCCTAGCGTCCCTCTCCCTCTCGACCCTCGCGTCCTCCGCCCTCTGTACAGCGAACCTCTCGAGCGCTTCCACTAAACCACCAACCAGTTCAGACACACCCACGTTACCTGAAAAAGGAATGTAAAAATATATTATTGTATTACACCATAGTATCTCTTCTATATTAATAAAGAGGAAAGATTTGTTTATTTGTTATGAATAGGCTCCGAAACTACTGGACCGATTTTAAAAATTCTTTCATCTTTGGAAAGCTACATTATTTCCGAGTAATATGGGGTATAATTAATAAAGAGGAAAGATTTGTTTGTTTATTTGTTATGAATAGGCTCCGAAACTACTGGACCGATTTTAAAAATTCTTTCACCTTTGGAAAGCTACATTATTTCCGAGTAATATGGGCTATAATTAATAAAGAGGAAAGATTTGTTTGTTTATTTGTTATGAATAGGCTCCGAAACTACTGGACCGATTGAAAAATTCTTTCACCTTTGGAAAGCTACATTATTTCCGAGTAATATGGGCTATAATTAATAAAGAGGAAAGATTTGTTTGTTTATTTGTTATGAATAGGCTCCGAAACTACTGGACCGATTTTAAAAATTCTTTCACCTTTGGAAAGCTACATTATTTCCGAGTAATATGGGCTATATTATATTTAAAAAAAATTAGGGACCTTACTATAACTCCAATAATGTAACCCAAGGTGTAAAAAAATGATATGAAAAATTCCTTACGTCGCGTGCGCTGTGAAAACTATTGATAATAGAACAAAATCATTTACTACGACTTTGTAGAACTCATCATTATCTACAAAGAGTGTCTCGACAGTATATGTCTAAATATTATAGTTATTTCACAGTAAGCGGTTTTTTATACTAAAAATTTTATTTATTTGCCGCCGCTTGAAAAGGCTCTTTATTTGTACCTTGGTATTAATCCTTATCAAAATAAATTACTTTATATTCAAGACGGCTTCAATACCTTTTTATAACTTTTTGAATTATTCAATTCGGGCATTTCATTCGGAAGATATCACAAGTTTAAAAATGCAAGTGTCGGCTCCCTACGCAGCGGTCGTGTGCGTGATCGTATGATTTTAGCTTTATTTAGATTTAGATTTATGTCAAGATATTATACATAGAATCAGACAGCAAAATCAAGACTTCGCCTTGCCATACAGTGAAGACGTTTATAATGAAGGTTTGATTCAAATAGAAAATAAACTTTTGCAATTAAATGATAAAAGCTTAAGTAATTTTGAATTGCCTGTTTCAGTTCGTACAAACAATAATGCAACAGATACAATGGCACATCACTATAATACAAATAATTTGAGCGCTTTTGTCAATGAAAACCTGGCAAAATTAGTCCCAGATCAAAAATATGCTTTTGACACTATAATCGAAAGCGTGAATAATAACAAAGGAAAAATTTATTTTTTGGATGCGCCAGGTGGCACTGGCAAGACTTTTCTTGCAAATTTGATACTAGCTAAGATAAGAGAATCAGGGAAGATAGCGATTGCAGTTGCTTCGTCAGGAATTGCCGCAACTCTCTTAAAGGATGGAAAAACAGCTCATTCTACTTTTAAACTTCCGCTATCCGTAAATCTTGAGCAACAATCGTTATGTTCAATCCGTAAAAACGGCCCTCTTGGTAAATTATTACAGGACGCCTCATTGATTATGTGGGATGAATGCACTATGAGTCACAGAGCGCATATAGAAGCCGTGGACAGAACATTAAAGGATCTTAGAAACTCCTCTGCCCTCATGGGCGGGATTACTTTTGTATTTGCTGGAGATTTCCGACAGACTCTTCCTGTCATTAACAGAGGTACGCGAGCAGATATCATTAAATCATGCTTGATATCGTCTCCCTTATGGACTTCGATAGAAAATTTAAAATTACGAACGAATATGAGAGCTTATCTTCATGGAATCACAGATAGTAATTTCCCACAACAACTACTAAAACTTGGTGAAGGAATTTTTCCCACTCCAAATTTAAACAGTTGTGACATCCTGCTGGATGAGTCTGTAGGCCAAATAGTCCATAATTTAGAAAATTTAATAGATGCTGTATACCCTGACATCGAGAATTTGCACGAAAAGGACTTTCATTGGTTGTATTCAAGGGCAATAGTGTCACCCAGGAATGATAGTGTCAACGAAATAAACAATCTCATTATTCAAAAAGTCTCCGGCCAAATAAAAAATTACAAATCGATCGATACCGTGACTAATATCGAAGACGCAGTGCATTATCCACAGGAATTTTTGAATTCACTAAACCCTTCTGGATTGCCACCACATGAATTGACTTTAAAAATTGGAATTCCAATAATGCTTTTAAGAAATTTAAGCCCTCCGAGTATGTGCAATGGAACGAGACTGCTAATTAAGGATTTGAAGGACAACTTAATTGTAGCTACCATTATCACTGGCCCAGCAGCTGGTCACCTAGCTCATATACCGAGGATACCGATGATCCCAACTGATCTGCCAATCCCTTTTAAACGACTTCAGTTTCCGGTCAAACCATCTTTCGCATTAACTATTAACAAGTCCCAAGGCCAAACCTTCGAATTATTAGGGATCGACCTACGAAAAGAATGTTTTACTCATGGCCAACTGTATGTTGGCCTATCACGTGTCGGAGCTCCTGAAAATCAATTTATTTTGCTGCCACAAAATAAAACTACCTCAAATATCGTTTACAAGGAAGCTCTAACTCACTAAAACTAATGGTTTTTGTTTTGTACATAATATGATTACATTAATAAAAAATTTGAAAAAATATTTAATAAAAAAAATCAAACTTCCTTTATAATTTTACTTTTTTTTAAAAACCTGACGCAAAAAAGAAGGGTGTGTGTGTGTGTGTATTTACCCGTGCGAAGCCGGGGCGGGCCGCTAGTATTATATAACTTCATAAGTCTAAGATAACTTATTATAGAATATAAGTGTTATTCGCAGTGTCATAGAGAACTTGCAATCAACTGCTAGCGACATCTATCTTGTGTGGCGTAACTTCATATGTGTTTGAGGTAAAATTACACGGAATGAATCGATAAAATAATAACTTGTACGTTATTCTGATGTCTGAGCTATTTACAGGAAAATGGTATCAAAATCCGTTCACAACATTTTATAAGAGTTAAAACATCCATACGTCCTAATAAATATGTTCCTTTATAATGTAAGTAAAAATTGTTAAATAAAGCCAGTTATAATAAAAAAGTTACCATTAATGACGGAGTATATTTCGGTGTTGGATCTCACTCTCATGATGATGAGCAAGGCTGGGAGACGCTCCACTGGGATGCTGCGGACAGTCATACTGGCCACGGGTCCCAGAGAACTGGCTATAGATGACAATAACCTGGAAAATATATGAAAACCAGTATTAACTGGTCAGATCCGAGTATTAACTGGTCCTATCCACACGAAATACTTAGATAATTAAACAGAAATTCTTATAGAGACAGGAATTCTGAACAAGTATGATAAATAATTTGCACAAACTATTTCTTATTAAACCAATAGCAAAAACTGAGACGAAAGTTCTTCAATTCAATGTATTCACCGTGCGGATGCCGGGTCGATCGTTGCAGAGAGGAGCTTCAACAGTGCCTGGGACTTGCGACCTAGGTATAGGTTCAAGGGGTCCTTAACAAATGCGCGTTAAACGCTCACCTCCACTGTCCAAGCTCCTCTCTCTACCTAATCAAATTTGAGAGGAACCTACTAGGGCTGCCTTCGAAGTATGAATACCAGTTAATTATGCAAGAAATTATTAGATAAACCACTGACACCGACATCTATGATGTGTGACGTGGTACTTTATTGAAGATAATATTTTAAAACAATATTCTTCAGGGAGAATTAATGAAATTATAAACTATATCTCATTATGATATCTGAACTGTTACTGAATATTTTCCCCAAAATTTTGAAAGTGATTCCTAAAGGTTTACACGTAAAACGCTAGTAGTGCCACTGCTACTAACCCGCTTATACCCTTAGTACAATGATATTGCATGATCAAACTATATATCGAAAGTTACCAGTGCTTTATTAACATATTTTCATATACTTTTTGGATGGAAAGGAAGAGTACTTGGCAACAGTCAGACAAGGGCTTAAACTTATTCTATATAGTGCCGACTTTGAAAATAAATTAATTTTATCACCCCCATTTTTTCATTTACTGATAAATCACTATAACTTATCGAGGTCAAATGATATTGAAAATCATACCCTAGGCCCAATGCCCAATTTTTTTCTGGGTTGCTTACTGCCATCTTTAGCCATGCAGTGACCAAAGGGGCCGTTATATTTCACTTTGTTAAAGATTGAGTTAGACTATAAATATAATATATGTATATATGGGCATAACTAACATATTATTATTATGTGGATGTGTGAGATCCCAGCCGTATAGCACAAAGTTCGCTGCGAGTGTTTGCAGCACAGTTTCACAGCCCAGAAGCTGTGCACAGAACACATTCGACAGCACAGACTGCTCGTGGTGAAGGTACACCCCTAGCAGCTTACGCTGGAATGAAATAAAGATTATTACACATATTATAATATATACTAAACTTAAAAGTTTGGGAAAACATATTATCATAGGTTTATCTATATAATTGTAAAATATTTTGTTATTAATAAGGATTCATACAAATGACTGATTCCTTTTAAGTGATTTTTATATTGAGAACATAAGATTAAAATACGCAAAATATATTACATTTTATTTTATATTAAATTTACTTTATTTCTTAGAAGAAAAAATTATGAGTATTTTATTCACTTATGTAAGACAAAAGAATATTAGAACGACAATTTATACATTAATAGTGATTTAAATACAGTGGAAACTCTATATAACGACACTGAAGGGACCGTGCATTTTAGTGCGTTATAGAGAGTTGCCGTTAAATAGAAAGAAGAAAAATCAGAATTAGAAAAAGACAAAGTTTATTTCAGACTAGTGTTAGTACTTATGTACATAAAAAAGAATGTTATTCGAACGCTATTGAGTATAGTCTGTTATTTTTGTTTGACGTCTTTTGCTGTTACACAAATATATTTCTTATCTGTTCCAACTGACCTCATTGGCTGGTTTGAGGCAGGATTCTTTGATAGCATCATGTAGGGTACCCTCGAAGAAGTTAGGTGTGTTGGGACCGTAGCGGGCTCGGAAACGTTGTGAGAATTCTATACAGCCGAGGGCTTCATCTTCAATATTATCTGACACTGGAAAATAAAAATGAACATTTATAAACATAAATATGTTTCAGCAACGTTAATTTGTATTAGTTTGTGTATATTGAGATAATATTGGACAATTTAATAGCTTTTCTGTTCAATAACACTATGATATGGTTAAAATATTAAATAACTAGAATAAAAATAGAAATATTGGTCATAAATGTAGATTATGACATATCATCGGGGATAGTGCAAAACCGCGTATCTGCTTTGGAAGAAGATTAATTTAATGTTTAATTTATTAGTAACTAGCTTTCCGCCCGCAGTTTCCCCCGCGTGGAGATCGGTTACATCGCAATACCAAGAGGACCTTTCAAAAGTCTGAGATAAATATTATCCTGTTTTTCCTCAAGGTCAACTCTATCTCTGTATCAAATTTCATTAAAATCAGTTCAGTGGTTTAGGCATGAAACTGTAACAGATAGATAGACGCAAGTAAGAGTTACTTTCGCATTTATAAAGTAGCCTATGAGTTATTCCTGGACGTCAGCTTCCTGTATACAAAATTTTATCAAAATCGGTTCAGCCGTTTGAGCGTGAAGAAGTAACAATCATACACACACACTCACAAACTTTCGCAATTATAATATTAGTAGAATTGTGAAAAAATTAACTTAAAAATCGTTCATTATGAAAATATTTCGGCTTAAACTTTCTTCTGATAATGTGCTTCCTTTATAGATACTCGGAATTATCCAATGGTAGTTAGTAGGTACATTTACATAATATATATATTTCTAGTACATCACTACAGAAGCCACATAACTCACTCAATGGCTGCAGTCTTTCCGAGGTCACATCAACAAACATATCATCCTCTGTCGGGAAGTTATCACCGTCTTCTACTTCTTCCACCGAACTGTTCTCACTATCTGAACTTTGAACTATAATCTGTTAAAATACAATTAATTAATTTAATATAACCAAGTACATAGTATTATTAATTTAAAACTATTCAGTTAATACATTATTTTACAGCAAAATTTTTTTCCTATCCATGTATGACCATACACAAGTACTTTCTAAGTTTTGTCAACATATAGAATAGGTATTGACTTTAAGTAGCAATAATAACTTAACCAATATATAAGGTGGTTATAATAATTTTGATATATATACTGCATATCACTAACACATACATACACATATACAGCTGCGTGCAAAAGTATTAGGCACCCCTATTGTTAGTCATTATCTCATTATATTGCGGTCAAGTGTGTGTTTTATGATTTAGCTATTGTATTAGCGGCAATTTTTAACCAAATTAAGATAAAAGAAAATATTTATGACATCCAGGTGTGCTCCTAAGCGGTGTTTCTTCGAATTTGCTTTTTTTGCGTTTCGGGTTATAGTGTGTTATCAGTGCTTGCAGTGTACATACACGTCTTCTACGCAACTATTCCTATCACAATTCTAAAGACTAACATTTAACGTGTTAATCATGCCGAAAAAATCTGAACTTAGTGCTGAACAGCGTCTAAGAATTAAGATTTTACATGAACAAGGCATGTCTCAGGTTAAAATAGCCCAAGAAGTGAAGTGCTCGCGATGTGCAGTTCAATATGCTATAAATCGCTTCAAAGAGACTGGCACCCATGAAAATAGACCAAGAACAGGCAGAAGAAAAGTTACTACTGAACGGGAAGATCGATTGTTGATTAGGCAGTCTCTACAAAACAGGAAAAAAACTGCTTTAGAGCTCGCTGCAGCATTATCTGAGGCAAGAGGCAGCTCAGTGAGTGTTTATACTGTGAGAAGAAGACTTCTTAAAGCTGGATTAAAAGGATGTAAAGCAAGGAAGAAGCCGTGGCTGTCAGAACACAATAAGATAAATCGGTTGGAGTGGGCACTCAAACATAGAGATTGGTCAGTGGAAGATTGGTCCAACATTCTGTGGTCAGACGAATCTAACTTTGAGGTATTGTTATTTATTTTATGTACAATATTAAAACACATAAATGTTTTTAAAATAACGTACTGCAAGAAAAATAATAACTTTGAAAATAAATGTGTTTTTTTCGTTTTTCATAGGTGTTTGGAACACCCGGTGTGACTTATGTTAGGCGAAGGGTTGGCGAAGAATACAACCCAGAATGTGTGGTTCCCACTGTTAAGCATGGTGGAGGCTCAATAATGATCTGGGGCTGCATGGCTGCCGACGGAGTGGGCGAAATGGTGTTGTGTGAGGGACGAATGAATAGTGTTAAATACACTGAAGTTCTGGAAACAGCACTAGCAACGTCGATAACGCAAATTTTCGGTGATACAAACACCGATGGCCTGAAATTTCAGCAAGACAACGCCACTTGCCACAAGTCCGCGCATACCATGAAGTGGTTTGCTGAAAATCATATTGATCTTTTGGACTGGCCACCACAATCACCAGACCTCAACCCGATTGAGCATATTTGGTCCATTTTAAAGAAAAATATCCGCAGGCACTCGATTAGCAATAAACAAGCTCTATTGGCCGCGTTACAGCAGGAATGGAAAAATATATCAAGAGAAGAATGTTTCAGGCTGGTAGAGTCAATGCCAAAAAGAGTGGCTGCGGTTATTAAGTCAAAAGGTGGACCTACAAAATATTAATTATTTTCTTAAAATAAACCATTGCAATCATAAATGCAGTTTTATTTACACTCGCTATGCTAAAACACCCTAAAACTTGTCTTACTGTAGGGTGCCTAATACTTTTGCCCGTGGCTGTACAAATGGTCGGGATAGTGCAATTCCGCGTAGCTACCATCGGATAATTCCGCCTATCTACATTGGAAGAAAACTATCAGAAGAAAGTTTGAGCTGAATTTTTTCCTATATTAAGTAGTTCTAAGATATTTTTGTCATAATTAGTAACTATTTAGTGTGTAAATTATTAGTAATTGTGAAAAAATTTCCTTGAGTCTTTAATTTAGACAATATTTCAGCTCAAACATACTTCTGATAATCTGCTTCCGATGTAGATACGCTGAATTATCCAATGGCAGTTGTTACGTGGATTTGCACTATTCCCGACGATATACATATGAATACTTACCCTTTTGTACTCCTTGAATCTCGGTGCTCTTTTCACCGTGAGTTTATGCTGTGGCAGATCAAGACCCACCATAGCTAACACAGTGTCATCCAAACCTGATACAGTCGGCCAGCCGGTCCATACCTTGAAATAATTTAATTTCTTATTATATTACAACCATTAAAGAAAATATTACCATAAGTAGGTAATAAGAAGGCTTATATAATATTTAGATATAAAGAAATCAGTAAAGAAAATATGCCAATTATATTACTTCTCATATATACAGGGTGACTGGTGAATTACTATCGATACTTGAGGACGTGATATTTGACGATCATATATGACAAAATAAAAATTAATATAACATAAATATTAATAAACTTCTAAGTAAAGTTAACCAAAAGTTATGTAATTAATTACGCATCGTGTGAACACCCTACAGATTAGGTATATACACACACTCACACATACGCGTGCGGCGGCGTAGTGTTGTATCAGCACGCCGCCGCACGCGTCCACACTTGGAACACTTGGAACGTGTCAACACTTTATTTATTTATACGGAAATTTTGTCAAAAATTAAGTACCTATTTTTTTTACATAATTCGAATGAGAATCATGTACCGAGTATTCTCCTTAAATATTGATAGTAATTCACCAGTCACCCTGTATATCTCTTTGTGCTAATCAGTTTTAATAACATCTATTCAAGTAAATGGCATTATAGTACTATTGTAATGATCAAATATATATTTTTCAACTCACTTGATATCTAACAGGTATATCTGTGAGTGAGTAGAGATCGTTTTTGACTTCCTGTACAGTTTTTGTTCCAGGATATTTCAATGTGTATTCCCTCTCATCATACTTAACTAGGAGTTCGTAGGTCGTTGTCAACCTCTCCGCTACCCTGGAATCATAATGTTACTATATTATAACTAAAATATTATAAGAATAAGTCTTTCAACATATGAAATTAAAATCTGAAACATTCTAATACTAATTAATAAAACAAAGAAATAAATATTTATTATTAAATTTAAACCTTACAAAGTGTAAGAAGATTTGTTTTCATTATGTTTTAGAAAAAAAAAAGTCGAGTAACTACAAATTGCCAAAATATGATCTGTATAAATATATATTCGGCAAACAATTGATATGATTTCCTATTTTCTATGGTACTTAGAGATAGATTTGACATTTTCCCCAAATGTTGAACTTATTATTAAGGTGGCACTTCAATTGGCGTTTGTTTGTTGTGTTCGGCCAAATAACAAATGTGTGGAGGATTGATTCGTTTTCATTAGATATAATTGCACAAATAAGACACATACAAAAATAAGCGAAAACGCGTAAAGACGTGTTGTTGGCATACCAAGTGTGGATGTTGTGTTTGCGCTATTTGGTATATGTATAAATATTTCGACAAATGCGGCGAATACGCAACGCCAAGTGAAGTGCCACCTTCATACATAACACACATACAAAATAATAAACCATATTATATCAAATATTTTAAATGATTAATCATTAAAAAAATTCAATTTATAGGGTAATAATAAGGTTATAATTGTATAATCTTACTCATCATCAGCCATAACTGTATCGGCAGCCTTCAGTCGTAGAACAGCATTCCTTGTTAGACCGAGTGTTGACAAAGCCGCAGTAGAAGTCGCTCTTGAACCACCAAGACCAGATATTTGCTGTCTGCAAACTGGAATTCCGCATACCAGTTCCAAACGCTTCTTGAGATCATCTGTAATTCATAATAATATTAAATATTAGCTAAGTTTTCAATAAATATACTAAATATTTTAACGGGAAAGATGATAATCATCATTTGTGAGTGTTAAAAGGTATAGGGTGTTGTTTAAGAAACAATTAAAATACCCCGGTAAGTCTTTAAGTGAAGCGCAAAGCACAGCTTATTATATGTGTACAAGTATTTAATAAATATATATTATAATTTAATTTTAATAAATTTGAAAATATTGCTATTGCATATTAGACGATCTATTCATGTGTTTATAGAATTGAAAGTGTAGTTGTAATAATTAGAAGTAATGTACAAGTACAATTATTGCAAGTAAATTTACAAAATTATTTACAATTAATTTTTATTGATTTATCTTACATATATTCAAATAAGTAATAAATTTGCTATATAGATAAGTCATATATATGTATATAACTCCCCAGTGTTAGTAAAAATCAATTTATACATATACATATAATATATATATGAAAGACCCACTTGCTAAGTATATAATTATATATATTTATGTACTTACTGACTGTTGCTGAACCAGATATTTTGATGTCATGTATCTTATTATTACAATGAACTTGTAACTCTACTAGGTTGATTGAATTATTTCTAGGTGATGATGTTGAGGCTTGACTGTCTTCCCGATCTGTGGAAGGATCAATTATATTTATAATAAATACATAATTAAGTCAATGCTATTATTGGTGGTTATTTATTGTTAATTAAACACAATTACTAATAGTTTCTTTGATATAAAATGTTTTATATGTATAGTGAGTCTCCGTTCTCAAAGAGGGTTGATGTTAGGCAGGCCGGTTGTAAAAACAATTAGCCAAAACTATTCACAACATGTAAGGCAGACCCTGGCTATCGCTGGGAAATTGCCAGGTAGAAAAAGTAAGTGAGTCTCCGTGTGAGAAGAGGCCTTTGCTCAGCAGTGGGCTCCAATAGGGCGATGACAAGTATGACAAGTAAGTTAAATTATATATATGTTTGAATCCTTCAGTATTGTAGTAACTTGTATTTACATACCGGGTGGGTGTGTTTTAGGAGTTATCACAGATATATCGTCATCTATCATTTCCACATCATGCGTGTCATTGGAATGGGAGGCTGAGCTGCTTCCATCTTGAGGCATCACTCGGTTTATGGCAGACTGGTAATAAATGGATTATATTAAATATTATACTTGAAAGATATTATGCTCATTATAAAAGACACTTAATAAAACAAGATTCCAATGATTGCATATAAAAACATATACATAAAATATGCATAAAGATGTGATACTTACAAGTAAATCCCAATTCGCTTCTTCTAAGTGGAATATTGCTTCGGCAACATCTTCAATATTTGTTATTCCCTATAAGAATAATAAGATCATTTTAATTTCATATATGAATAAAACAAAGAATTTTATTGATCTTCCATTTAGGGTAGGTAGAGGTCAACATAGATGTATAGAAAAAAATCCAAGATTTTCATTGGAATACGTATCAACACGTACATTTAGAAATGAAACGAAAATAAAAGATGAAAAAGATTTTACACTATAAAATTTAGATGACTCAAACCAATAACAAAATCTGTCTAATAACGCTTAGGAATAAATCATGTAAGGTCATATACAACGTTGATAAAACAATGAAAATTCGCATGAGACGTAGTACAAAGAGATAAAGGAGAATTTTACAGTCACTGTTTTTGTATTACACATAACCTTTACATTTCAAACACTAGACTTTTATAAAGCTAATTAACAAAAGTTAACAGTGGACTATTGATAATTACTTGAAAATTTGCAAGAATTTCTTCTCTATTCTCAGCCATTTCGATATTATTGAGCACAAAAATACTACTCTCCTATGAAGTATGACATTTAATATTGCAGACAAATCACACTCAAACATTACTTATGAGCCATAGACATTGGTCTCTACGTTGCCATTATATTAATTTTACCATAAAACTTAAGATTTAAAAAGCATTGAGGTCCTTTACACAAATAAAAACTGAAAAATAAACAATAATCAAATATAAACTTACTTTTAATATTTAGAAACCTTGTAACATAATAAAATAAATCCATTATAAGTAATGATAAGTTTTCTCTCTGTACTCTTGTTCGGTGACACAATTTTTACTAAATTCAATTAAATATTGAAAGTTATGAGATACATTACAATTAATTGGGTTAAAATCGTTATCAGTTTTGCAAGCATTTTAAATTGTCACATTTGGTTTTCTTCATTAATATTAAGTTCAGCTGTTAGTAAGAAATATCCCATAAACCTTTTAAAACAATAAATATTTATAACACAAGAATAAACATCAGTCAGTATCAGTTAGTATAATATTAGACTATATAAGAAACTTTGTAGAAACCAGTTAGTATCAGCATTAAACCGTATTTGTCGTATTTTTTAATTTGTTAAATCATTGTGTTACAATATTCAATCGTGCTTTTTCAAGAATTAGAAAACGTTTCGTAAAATGTAAAACTCCCTCAAGTAAATAGTGTATTAATGAAACAAGATTTAACTTTCTTTCCAGAAAAGTTCAAGTACTTCAAGCATCTATAGTATTAGTAATAAAACATACATGATATTGTATTCATTAAATTATTTTCCTTAGATAACATTCCCTATATTTAATGAGGAGTATTGCACTATTTAGACTTTTGAGGACATTTCTAACAGACTGATCTGATTGTAAGTAGGCCGTCTGTGGGTCACAATAAAACAATGTCACTGGAAACTGAATATTAAGCGCTAGATTTTGAAATTAAAATAATATCTTCTACCACTCTAAGAAGATTTTTTTAAAAATCTAGTTCTATTAAGTTATCTATATTCAAAATATTATTTCTGCACATATTTAAGATCTAAATATTAAATACAATGCCTACTAATATAACATTATTACACTAATTCGAATATTAAATTATAACCTTTTTTTTAATTTGACAATCATTTTATTCAGCCTATTATAAATTAATTCGTCGTTCCATGTAGGCTGATACAGTAAAAAAAAAAATTACATGACGATTTAACATCGATAGTTTGAAAAATCAAATGCTGTTATAATTTTGAAAATGTAAAGTATAATGTGTTTAATGCAACAATAAATATATTGAAGTGCAAAATCCAAATGCAACTAAATTATAAGTAGTTTAATTGATATGTATGCGGTTTTAAACTTAGCCTTTACGTTTGAAGTTTCAACTTTCGTAATTCATGACAGTTGGTCGTGCGCGCAGGCACATTGCGCACGCGTGTTTAAAAAATATACAGTCTCATGAAATCGATTTGTAATTCGTAATTGTGCTTTTGTTTTTCAAAATAAATTAATATAAGTGATTACATTAGATTTAAGGTATAATTTTTGTTTTTATTATTAATAATACTGTTTAATGTTAAAGTTTTTTTTATTATTAAAATATAAAATTAGTTTAAAAGCTATCTATCCGTATGGCTATATTTTATTATTATCTATGGATTGTCAAAAATTGGTGTAAAGATTTAATAAATTAAAATACTAAAGTGTAGACTCAAAAAGAGCAAAATAAACATTGCCTAGCTGACGGCACTTTTTAGCGCTGAGCTTGTTTAGCAAACTTTTTGTGATGTCTAAATCCGTACAAGTCTGCGTCTAGTGCATATGTCTTTAATTTAAGATAACAAGACGTATTTGTAATAAGGCTAATCACATAAAATGTTTATTCAATAACTTTATGTAATATTGCGAACTCAATAAATAAAATTGGGATTTTTTTTTTATTTAACTTGTTGTAAATCTCTTTTGGAAAATATATTTTTATGTTCATATTTTGAAAATATGTGCTGATGAGTAAAAACAAAATAGTATGGATGAATTGAAATAGGTTTAATATGTTTTTTATTGTTTGGTAACTTTATTAATAGAATAAGCTCTGATCTTACTTGCGTTTTATACATAGGTTTATGCATATATAAGAAAACAGAAATAAGGTCTTGAAATAAGAAGAAAATCTGTTTAATGCTCTTCGATAATTAATGATATCGAATTTTCATGAGAATTATTAGTGTTGCAATTTTTTTAATTTAATTAAATAATAACCGTACTTGGATTTTCAAATCTATTACTTATTGTTAAAGAAGTTGTAGCGTACCTATCTATAAAGTTATAATGAAAATAATTTAAATTTTAACATCATTTATTCATTGAAATTACATCTTATTTTAAATAAATTCTAATTTTTTGTAACTGAAAACAACGCCTTAAAATATTGCATCCCGCTTGTTCTATTTACAAAAAATAGAAGAAAAAAAAGAAAGTAACTACATTTAAAATTAACAAAAATGTGAATTGTTGAAGATTTTCTTTTTATTTTCGCAGGGAATATGGCTTCGCAAGCCGTGTGGGGTGCATTAGTGCTTCTATTCGTCGCATCCGCTTTATCACTTACACTAGACGAAGGTTAGTATTAATAATTAATTATAAATGATCGAGATTTGATTAATTTTGAAATGTACAAAATAAGTTTAATCCTTATTTTTTTATTACGCTACAAGCTCAAAAAAGAATTCTTGCGACATCTATGTTGAATTTAGAAACAAAGGGAAACTGCGGGCGTTTTGAATTTAGAACGTCTTTGTTTAAAAATGGCGACTAACAAGTCGGGTCGAGACTATTTGTGTGCTCATTAAGACGGGAGATAGGGAAAATGTAAAAAAACGAAAATACAGCTCCGGAGGAAGTAGAGAAGTGACTGAATGTATATTTAAAAGTATTAAATATCATCCTGTATAACAAGAACGATTAATGAGAGACTTATTATAATTAAGTTTTTGAAGTTAGAAATTTTTATATGATATAAAAAATATTGTTTATTTAAATTTTAATAGATCGATTATTTACAACTTATTCCCAATATTACATATTAAATATGAAGTAACTGAATAAAATATAATAATTTGCGACTTAGAATGTCGATGGCGAAAATAAGTCGAAAAAATTTTAAACAGGCTGTTTATACATATTTAAAAAATCGGGAATAGTGTTGCCATGTACTAACATTTTACACCGACTTTAAATGTTAATTTAATATATTTTAAATCAAATAACCGATTAAAAGATTATTTTAATAAATAAATATTTTTACTTAATATATTAAATACTTCATCTTTATGTCATTATCTTTCTCACCAGTCTTAATGAAATCAACCTTTGTCTGAACTGCCGTACACAATCTATTCGTTACGATTTGTTATCCAATGTTTTGTGTTATCTGTATTCAAACGATATTTGTACGTATATAGAAATAATAACATATAATTTTTATGTATTATTAGTACACATATTTTTATTAAACTATATTAAACTGACCTATATATTTTGTATACAATACAGTATCTTTATAATATACTAGTAGCCCGCGACTTTGTCCGCGTTAATTTCGGAATTAGTAATATATGTATAGCTGACCGGGCGAACTCTATTCCGCCCTGGAGGCCATAAATAACCAGATATTGTAATTTGTTTTTTTCTTTTTCAATTGAACAGAATTAAATATCCTATGTCCGTCTCCTAGTTCTAAGCTATCTTTCCGCCAAATTTCAACCATATCCCTACAGCTGTTCTTTAGTTAAAAATAGTGTAACTAACACGACTTTCTTTTATATAAATAACAGTTTAATTAAAACTACTAGTTTTTGTTGACATATCAAAAATAATATTTCATTCATATAATTTGTCACAATAACGGTAATATTTGATAAAAATTTAATTTTCAATGGCCGATTAGCGATGCCAGAAGTCATTGGGTCAGCATATGGCTGGACGTATTTGGTGCGCTTGCGTAACACGTGATTCAGACATTTCGAAAATCAAAAAATTCTGTCATTGTCCGCCATTTTTGTTGAGGAAAGTTTTTACCGCTATATTTGTTTATAAGATTAACATTTTGTTTGTATTTAATCTTAATAACGTGACCCATTTACGATGTTTTGCTTTTACATACGACAGTCGAAAAAGTATTTTGACAGTTATACATTTTTGTAGACAACAATCTCATTCATTCATCCTTTTCGTATAATTTAATAATTAATGATGATTACATTTTCAACGCGTCTGTTTTTATCATTATAATTTTAAAAAGATTTGATATATGTTTTTGTCATTACATCATAGCAGACATTAAAACCTTATTGGAATTATGAAGAAGATCATAGTGTTTAAAAAGATATTAAAAAAAATATCTATGTAGTATAAATTCTAATATTCTGTCTTGATTATTTAGTCCCTGGCTAGTAAGTAATGCAAGTGGAAGTGACATCAGTCCAATTTATTGCAGTTACGCCTACACGTTGTGGAAGGTTTCATTGATAATTTAAAGTACATATAATCTATAGTACATAAAGTTTAAATTTAAACTACTTAATATATTGAACGTAAGCTATTGAGAATATTATTTATATATTAATAAATATACTTTTATATATATAAGTATGTATACTTTATTCATCTATGTAAGACTTCTTCCCAGTCTATTTAAATATCGATTCGCACGATTTGTAACATGAAAAGAAATTAATAATGAAAATGTTTTAACGAGATGAGTTTTATCGAAAATATGTACATTTTTATCGTTTAGAACAAACAAAATTTACTTTTGAAGTTATTTCATTGTGGATAGGATTCATTTTAAATTTTCCTCGTTGCGTGTTATTTGTTTTGTGTTTTTTGTCTATGGATATCCAAAATTAGACGATGTCTATGATCTATATATTCGGATAATATTTTCATTTACAAAAAACTGATTTATCAATGAAGTTCTTTGTTTTAAGGTGGTAATGAGAGAAACAGGTTTCAATGCCGTTTTTATTATGATACGTGGTTTTTTCTATTTATGAGGCTTTGATATACAGAATCGTTTTTGGATTAAACGCTTCCATATATATATTTACATTTTTTCATTAGTTATATTTATCATGCAGTATATTATATTTTTCATGCAGTAATGCATATATTTAAAGTAAATTTATATGAATCTTAATAAAATCTCATTTTTGCATTAATTGAAATGAAAGATACCGTCTAATAATAGAATTAAATGCATAATTAATAGTTATTTCACTAAACAACATACCGTATAAGGATTGATCTCCGCCATTATGTTGCCCACATAACTTTTTTTTAGCATAAGGTGAATAAGTAACAGCCTATACAACATTATCGGCTTAAAAATATAAAACAAAGTTTATGAAATTTAATCCTTATGTTATTTAATAATAAAGAACAATTTCCTTTCAATATTAAATATCTTTTAAGTCAAACATCAAAGAGGTTTTATATAAGTCTTCGTAAACGGTGCCGTAAAGAGTCATCTGTATTGCTCTCAGAAGTGTATACCAAGTTAATATCTAATGTTAGCCCACAAACCGTGCGTTTATTTCTAGCTGTTCTTATAATTATCCAGACAACGGTAGAAACAGGAAAGCCCTACATGGCAACACTTTTTGCTGTGACCGTTATATTGATGCTGGCAGTTTTCCGACACATTTTTATCGAGATATATTTTTTTTAACCCTGAAGACTTAGTTTCATAAATATATGTATCAGACTTGACTTATTGTTGGTTATTTGTTGTTAAAATATCATATTTATAAGTTAAATAAAAAAAAAAACGATGAAAGTAAAATTCTTAACATTGAAGTCGAGACTTGTTTGAATGCAATTAAAAACTTTGACGTCCTTTAGAATGACAAACGCTAATTAAAATCAGTACAGAAACTTAAATGAAATATATATAGATATTACGGTCAGAAATTTTGATAAAAATTAGTTTTCTTTGTTTAAACATGACATTATTGTTGTGGCATAAATAGTATTAAAAAAAAAAACGAATATAATATTCAACTGAGATGAGAATTCCCGCTTTTGTTATCACTTAAGAAATAACACAAAATGTCGTCTGCCAGACCCATATTAAAAGGACAATTAAAAAGTTAATTTAGCGTAAGTACCTATAAATCTCTACAAAATAATCTTCAAAGAAAGAAATGTTGTACAAATGGAATCGCAATTATATTTTATCGCTACAAATTAAGATATAAATATAAATATTTAATAATTTCCGTTCAGAAACGTGCACAGGATATTCAGCCGATGTAATATAAAATGACCAAATCGTCGGTCTTCATGAGTCAAGCCTGTGTGTCATTGCTAGTTAATAATAACTTCAAAGTTCACAACACTGTTACGTCATTTTACATATAAAATATTATCGGACTCTTTTTGAAAATTTTGCTAACTAAAGCAATATGAATTTAATTTAATATTAGTCATCGATAAAGAATAAAAATGACAAAGAAATAGCTTACATACATAAATCTTTATATGATAGTTTCATGGATTCATTTAAAAGTAATAAATCTCTATATAAAATTAAACTTAATAGGAACTATTCATATTTTCTGTAATAGTGGACTGTTTACACACAGTTGCTAAGACTAACCACTACCAAAATACTTTATACAACAACTTCAAATAATGTTTCAAGTTAACATCCCTTCAGAATAGTTAAAGATAATCTTAAAAACACTCACGGAGATTAAATACTAATTACATGAAACTAGTATTATTCTTATTACTACACGTATTTTATTATTTTTAAACTACATACTCCCGACGTTTCTGTTACTTTTCAGCAACTGTGATCACTGGCAGACGAGATGTCGTCGGGATTCGGGAGTATGTAGTTGTAAAATAATAAAATACGAGTAGTAATCCGAATAATAATAGTTTCATTTAAATGAATACTCTTCATTCTTCATTTTACTCACAATTAATATATGTATCTGATTCAATACTAACTAATTTACATAGTTTCTACACAATGCCAACGATTGTGTCAATGAAGAATTATATCTTGTATATACGTTACTCGTTATAAATGTCGCTATATCTTGAGACCCGAATTTGATTTGACTATCAAAGTTCAGTAGGTTACAGTACTCTTATCGTTCGATTCACGAAATCCAATGAATAATATTATCACAAATCTTAAGTTATTTACAATTTCTCTTTGGTTTATAATTATAACAGTTTCATTCGGGTTTGCTCGCATCTACTTAGGCTTTTCTTAGTATTGTCTTTAGTATTTATTTCTGTTCAGTAATTTTAATTAAGTAATAAAAATCAATTACCTCGAATACAAAATTTGTAATGTTACTCCGATATTAATGAGGTTGTGGTAACAATGACAAATAGTTAATGTGGGTCTTCCCAAACTAACAATAGTTTCATCATTAATTCAGAACAACGAAAAAGATTTCCAATGTAATAAAGTGAAAATGTTTAGGTTCCTTCATTTCCTTTGTAGGAGACTGCCGAATAATATTTCGATATTTAAATAAAATATTCTTTAGGCCTAAATCCATTTATTTTTACAACCCATTTTGTATCTTATTTAATAAAAAATCGAATAATTAAAATTTATTTATATAAATATTCATTTCCATTATTCGATGTTCTTTATTTGTATTTGATTTTTTCAGAAGCCACAAATGACGTGATAGCTGCCGCTTCAGCCACTGAAGATGGTGAAGTAGCTATCATAGTTCGAGGACCGTATGGGGAGAACTTAGTGCGTGAAGAACTGCTTCACGCGAAGAGTACAGATGATAACTCCGTCTCACTCTATTACAATAGTAAAAGTAAAAAGGGTAAGTAATTAATCAAACAAATACTATAGATAGTTAGTAACTGGAAAAAGTAAAAATAATTAGTTCTATTGCTTTCAAAACTTGGTGAATAAACTGATTTATTTCTAGTTTCTTTGGAGAGTCTAAACGGGAATCATATCAAGTCAGTTTCCTGGAGTTTGGGTTCTCATTTCCATGGCACATTGATTCTTATCGTGACCCACTCTAGAGTGAAGTTGGCGGTAGGATGCAAACCGCTGCATTGGCATCCTATGTCCGGTAGACATGACGTGCTGACACTCTTAGCGAACGAAAAATTAAAATTGGTAAGACACTACTACATTTATTATCAAACTAGCTGCGCCCCGCGGTGTTACCCGCTGATTTCCGAGATTTCCAGGATTTAAAGTAGCCTATGTGTTATTCCTGGACGTCAGCTTCGTGTATACAAAATTTTATCAAAATCGGTTCAGGAATTTGAGCGTGAAGAAGTAACAAACATACACACACATACAAACTTTCGCAATTATAATATAAGTAGGATTTGCGAAGTCATAAATTGAATGAAGACATTTTCTGTTTAGTACCACGAAGAGAATGCTCCAGTTGAGGTCTATGATAGTGAAAAGACAGCTTTAGATGCCTTGAACTGCAACCATAGAGACCTTAAACCTCCAACCTTAGTCACAGTTGATTCCGATGTGGAAGAAGTCAAAGATTTCATAAAACGCGAAGAGAGAATGAAGATGGAAGATGAAATGCAAGGAGACGATCCGAGAAATAACTATATAGATCCTAACATTTACGCTCCACTGCCTCTACCACAGACTACTCCTGGCTCACAAAGAGGAGATATTCCTGCAACGGATATAGAATCTTGTGACGGTAAGAATAAAGATGTTAATTGCTATGGCAGAGTGATAGTCATGTACTTATAGTACCTTCTACACCTACAAGCATGACCTACTAGTATGTTTTTGATGTTTAAGCAATGATAACCAGCCATAAAATGACATAAGCTGTTCTGTCTTTTACAGTTCATTAAAACTATGTCTATTTCAGATGAAGTGATCCGTCAATTGAAACTTCTCCGTCAAACGATAGAACTTCTTCGTCGTGAGCTTGCAGACCAGAAAGGGACAATAGATGGTCTTAGAAATCAACTCCGAGCTTGTTGCAATCGAGTTTCACCACCCCCCATAGATAGATGTTCCGGATCTTCATGCTATCCTGGTTACTGAAATTCAATTTAAACACTAACCTTATAAAACTATCCTCAATTCATTGTCTCACAAGTATTGTAAGTTATTCTCGCTTCGCTAACTATGTTTAAGGAAAATCAAGCAACGTATTAGTGTGGGTTTTATTAAACAATTCGGTCAATACACGCGTTTTATTTTATGTCGATACCCTTCTAAACATACCGGAGTCATGGCAGAGTTTCAAGTCCCGCCCACCTTTATTTAAATTCGTGTTGCTTGATTAGCCTTGGCAGTTCCATTAAAGGTAAAGATATGTTGATTACTGAGGCAAAAGTTGTCATTGTATATGAAAGAGTATTTAGACACGACATGAAACTCTGTCCATGGAATACAATGTTTTTAGTTTAAATTTTATTGCTAAGTTAAAGAAATGTTAGCAATGACTACATTATAGTGGTGTCCTTTGTCAGAATTTAACGTAAATCTTTTTTTATGATAAAGGCCTTTTAAACAATAAACAAAAAGAATTAGATAGAATCGATATTGAAGTACATAATCCTTTAATAAAAATAAAAATAAAAATATAAAAAAAAGTCTTTAAGAATTTCTTAAGTATTTTTCTTCTGTCTAGCAAATTTTTAAAGCCTACTTACGTAACTTAACCAAGATTTTTTAATACAAAGAAAGAAAATACTTATTGCGCCTCAAACTTAGGGGTCCATAAAGTACGTCACACTTTGTTTTATGACTTTCCAACCCCCCTTCCTCCTTCCTTGTCACAAGTTGTCATATACATATTTATACCCCCCCCCCTGATGTGACGTAACACTTTTTTATATCTATGTATATATTTACAAATAATCGAGAGAAAATAGCTACTTTTATTTTTTATAATTTTTAATTAATAATACTGTAAGTATTTTAATAGGTGACAACACAAAATTATTAACCGTATACCGTACGTACTTTATGGGTAGCTCCTTATACATAGAGAAGAAAATATTTAACTCCAATAGATAATAAACATTTTGAACTCTATTATCCTTCTCATTAGAGTTCACAATTGAATATCGTTCATTCATAGTGCTAATCGTAAAGTTTTATATACTACCCCCTTACCAAATAGAGTATTTGATTGTTGTAAGTATTATTGATCATCAAGTATCTGATGAATGGTGTAAATAGGAGTGCAGTGTCGCAACACGGCGACAGGCATCCAGTGTGGACCCTGTCCATCAGGAATGGAGGGTGACGGAAGAATATGCAGACCTATAACTTGTAATCGACGGCCATGCTCTAAAAGTAAGTAGAATTAAGATCTATTATATTGTTTCAATGATTCATTTTCACCAATATTGATGTCAAGTCACTTTAATTTAGTCAAATGTTTTCCTTTCGTTCAGTGTAAGCTTTGAAATAATATGATATTTTTTTTTTATTTTATTATTTAAACGTTTATTGACTTTGTGAGACTTAGAACGACTTTTTGAAATTATTTGATTAATAATGAAATATATATAGATTAACCTTTTCAATGTGAGAAGAGGCCTTTGATCAGCAGTGAGCTCTGATTGGCTGATGATGATTATCTATAAATTATTTTTAATTATTTACTTCAGACGAATATTGCATCGACACGGAACAAGGATTTAGATGCGAGCGATGTCCAGGAAGACAGACCAGCGATGGACAAACATGTCATTCCGCTTGTAGCTCCAATCCTTGCTTTGGTGGAAGTTAGTATTTTAAACTACCTTACTAAATAGCACAATATTTTAATATAGATTTATATAAATGTCACTGCTATACAATTTTAAATTACCTGAAGTATTACTTAAATTAAAATTAAATTAACATTTTCGGATTATTACTGATATTTAATTATTTTTAAAAACTACATACTCCCGGAATTTCGTCTGCCAGTGATCACGGTTGCTGCAAAAGTAACAGAAACGTCGGGAGTAGGTAGTTTGTATAAAAAAAATATAAACCACGAGTAGTAATCCGAAAATATTAATTACATTTAAAGTCTTACATCTCATTACTAGTTAAAATACCAAAGTATGCTTTATTTAAATTTCAGGAGTACAATGTCAAGATTTACCGGATGGTAGGTATCGTTGTGGCTCTTGCCCCGCTGGTTATACAGGGAATGGGGAACAATGTGTCAGACTAGCCTGCCGTTCCAACTCTTGCTTCCAAGGTAAGAATATAAGAACAATTAACCTAGATTCTTTTAAAACTTTACTTAAAATAACTGAATACTAGCCGAAGTCTTAAAATGATTAATGATTACTTTGTTTATTAAATCAACGTTAAATTAGTTGACAGCGTTAAAAATGGTATTGTAATGAGACCTAAAAAAGAAATAAAAATTTGCACTTCGTCTTATGGATAGAATAATGAGAAGAAAAAGGTATTGCGTTGCAATTATCTCATGGACAAGATAATGTAGTAATTTTTAGTAGTCATGTGAGATCGCATCGCAGGTCTTAAATATTACCTATTTACAAACAATACAAAACAAAGCTAAGTCACTATAGCCGAAAGCGGCTGGGTAGACATACATACATAATTTTTAGTATTACTAAAAGCTCTATAATTTGCCAGGAGTTGAATGCCAGGAGACGGCGTCAGGTCCTCGATGTGGTCCGTGCCCCCGTGGGTACGACGGTGATGGTATCCGTTGTGCACACGTGTGCTCCCGACGACCTTGTGGCGAGAGACGTTGCAGCCCCTCGAACAACAGTCCCTACTATACATGTGAAGGCTGCCCTAAGGGATACGAGTGGAACGGTACGATGTGAACATACGAAAATCCATAGTAATATAAATGCGAAAGTAATTCTATCTGTCTGTTTGCTGCCTTTTCATTCCTAAATAACTGAACGGATTTTCTGATCGGACTGGATATAGCCTACCTTTTATTACACGATTGAACGGATTTTGATGAATTTTTGTATAAAGGTAGATGGAACGATAGAGAAGGACAAAGCCTTCCTTTTATCTCGATCCCGTTCCCGATTTCAATCCCAATTCCGATCCCGATAGTACACAGGTGGAATTATAAAGTGCATTTCAGATTCGGTGGCCGTAGTGCCAGAGAATAATTCCGATTACCACGCTGACGGAGACGCGGGCAAAAGCTAGTTTATCATATATGTATATTCCCTGTAAAGCTCGTAAGGTACCTTCATTGTTTTTGGACACAAATCCCTACACATAACTGTAAATTTTCCAGGTTACACATGCGTTGATATGGACGAGTGTGATTTAATACGTCCTTGTGATGAATTGGTGTCGTGTCGCAATACGGAGGGAGGGTTCGAGTGTGGCGCGTGTCCTACAGGGTACAGGGGCAGCTCGGGATGGAGTGGTGCTGGTCAGGAGAGACGGAAGGAGGGCTGTGTGGATGTAGACGAGTGTGACCAAGACGTGTGTCCGCGGGGACGGCTGTGTGTCAACACGCCGGTATGTTTGTTCATATATAGGATGTTAAAGTTTATATATAGACAATAAGAAAGGAATTAAGGGGAGCTGGCTTTAATCTTAATATTAACGTTAGTTGCTGTCACTGTAATCGTTAAATTAATTGCGGACATCATAGTTTTAAAAGCAATACGTTTGGAACAAGGATATTTATGAAGTTTAAGCGAGTCATAGTGATGCATTTAAAAAGATACTAATTCAATAAAATCAGCACCATTTACATTGAATATTGGTGTCTATATTGAAGTCAGGAAGACCTAGTGGTTAAAAGGCCCGCCTCTCATGCATGAAGACGCAGGTTCGATCCTGGCCCGGGTAGGTACCAATATGATTTTTCCAAGTCATATGTACTTTCTAAGAGTATTTAGACATCACTGATTAATGCTGATTCCTAAAGAGGGTTGATGTCAGGCAGGTGGCCGGTCGAAAAAACAATTAGCCAAAATTATTCACAACATTTCAGGCCGACCCTGGCTATAGCTAGGAAATTGTCAGGTAGAAGAAGAAGAATTGGAAAGGAATACAATTTACAATAATGATTACATTAATGAGAGCTAGCTTTAATCTTAATAGTAACATTAATTGTTGTCACTGTAATCGTTAAATTAATTACGGACATCATAGTTTTAAAAGCAATACGTTTGGAACTTGATGTTTATGAAGTTTCAATGACTCACAGTGATGCATTTAACAAAATACTAAATCAGTAAAATCAGCAACGTATATCCTTTATATCGAATATTGGTGTCTATATGGACCAAAGAGTTAAAATTCTATGTTTATATTTTTATATTATCACCCAGGGTTCGTTCACGTGTGTTCCCTGTGGCGGTCACTACTACGTGAACACCTCTCGGCCGTGTATAGAGGCGGACTCCTTGCGGCGATGTGACCCAGCTTTCTGTCGCTCTCATAACGCTGTGTGTGGCTTCGGACAGGGATGTGTGTGTGCGGTGAGTATATATAGTATATAGAATTTTGAATTTAGAATAATCTTATACGTGTATGTGTGTGTACGTTAGGAAGCTGTATTTGTCGTTGTGTGCGTGAGTGCGTGATCGTTAAGAATATCTATTTCTGTTTATAATAAATGTGTGTGTGTTAAAAATATATGTATATCTTATTTGTGCGTGTGTGTATAAATGTGCGCGTTGAGACATTTTGTATGGGTGGTTCTGTCTATGGATATATATAAAGAGTGTGCATATTTTGTATAACTATCCAATTGATTTTATCTATATCTGATTAATTACAAAAACGTGTTCTTGAAGTACATCTGTAAAGTTGTGCAAGTCTATAAATGTAGAGACTAATTGCAACATGAGGATCAATGATGTGGCAATTGCTAGTAGTGAAAAGAAAACAAATAATAATTATTATACTGTTGTGATTTTTAATCTTCTTGATAAAATTTATTTACATTCTAAATTATTTCAATATATACCTAAATAACTGTTTAAATTATATCCTTATTCTTCATAACTTTAAACTCAAAAAGGAATGCATATTATAAACTTTTTACTGATCAATAGTTTTATTGATTTTATCTGTTTATGATTTATAAATAGACTATTTGGAACATCGTGGATTATTGGTTAATTAAAAAAATCATTTACAGACTGGCTGGGCCGGTAATGGTACTGTTTGCGGTACTGACAGTGATTTGGACGGATATCCGGATCAACAGTTGCCTTGTAGTGAATTACAATGCACAGCAGATAATTGTCCCCATGTGTCCAACTCGGGACAAGAAGACGCGGATAAGGACGGTATTGGAGATTCATGTGATCCAGATGCTGATGGCGATGGAATACCGAATGTACCGGTTAGTATAACAGCATAGCTATTAGGTATCATAGATCACAAAATCATTATTGCAGTGTTTGTATCTATACAATAGATATAATACAATGTCTCACGTACCCCACTAGACGGGCGGCATGCGCTTGGCAGTGTAATGACTAGCGCGGAGCAGAACGGTGTTCGCCTGCGTTCTAGGCGGGGTAGTAGTGAGACAGTGACTAGTTATACTTATATAAAGGACCAAGGGTCCTAATATCATCATGAGAATGTTTGGTCTACTGTTATTTTATTGCACATATCATATAAAAATAGGGAACATTATTAATTCTTTAGTATTAGTGAATAGACTATCTTATACTTATTTTTTTTCTGTACTATGTATTTTTTATTGCAGATATCATAAACTATTTTTATCTAAAAAAATAGGGTACATTAATTACTAATACTATTTACTTTAGTGTTTATGAAGAGACTATGTTGTACTTAATTTTGTTTTTCCTATAGGACAATTGTCCCTTAACACCTAATCCAGATCAGCTAGATAGGGATGAGGATCGCAGTGATAAGCGTGGGGATGCGTGTGATAATTGTCCAAGAAGATTCAACCCTGGGCAAGAAGATGCAGACAACGATGGACTCGGAAACGTCTGTGATCCTGATATGGATAATGATGGTAAAAGGAAATTATAGTATTAAAGTACTTTAGCTATACTTTAACTTGAAAAAAACTGTTAATTTATAATTGAACATGTCAATATGTTAATATTAAATGCAATAGAAATGCTTATTTTGATGTTGCAAAAGTTTAAAACGATTTGATCGTTTTGGTTAGCATAATTCAGGAGAACACCAACATTTTTGGGAAATAGTTTAAACACATCTTTATTTTACGATAAAGAAACCATAAAGCAATACGACGACCAATTTGCGTAGTCAAAGTGTAAATCACACATACAAATTGTTTCCTGTGTCATTCATTGAACTAAACGTTAATACGGTGTATGAATTAAAAAAAAACTGCTAACTTAGACTAACCCTATAGGAAAAAAGATGTACTATAGGCAATTATAATCTTTCAGGCATTCCCAACGAGCACGATAATTGTCCCCTCGTGTTCAACCCACAACAGGAAGACATGGATGGAGATGGTGTTGGGGATCTGTGTGACAACTGTCCGAGAGTACGGAACCCGTCCCAGGATGACTCCGACAAAGATAACGTTGGTGACGCCTGTGACAGTGACGTAGACAGAGATCAGTCAGTATAAGTATATAATGAAGTAACTAATATGTATTTAATCTATATATATATAAGAGATTTCCACCTATATATTGACTCATCACGATATCTCTGGAACCATAAGGCGTAGTGACTTGAAATTTGGTAGGATTATTCCTTTCGCCGAGTATAGGTCAGCTAAGAACGGATTTTACGAAGTTCCACCCATAAGGAGGGTTGCGGGGGGTAAACAATCAAAAATACGCTTTCTCGCCTAAACCACTGAACTGATTTCAATGAAATGTGGTACAGAGATAGAGTTGACCTTGAGAAAGAACAAAGGATAGTTTTTATCCCAAATTTTTGAAAGGTTCTCTTGGAAACGCGATATAACAGATTCGCACGCGGGCGAAGCTGCGGACGGAAAGCTAGTGTCTAATAAAACTCATGTTTTGGTTAGTCATGATTGAATTGATGATGTAATTGATTTCATATAAGAAAATATCCAACATATCAGCTTCCCATGAATGATTGCTATATAGGTCTTTTAAATTTAGTTATTGCTTTGTTTACATAATACTAACTTTTGCCCGCGATTTCGTCTACGTTAGTTTCAGAATTAGAAATTTATAGTTGACCCGACGAACCCTATTCCTTTTTAAAGACAGTAGATAATTAGATTTTAAATTTCATCAACTTAGTTATTTCTACTTTTTCAATCGAATAAAAAAGTATCCTTTGTCTAAGCTATCACCCCACCAATTTTTAGCTAAACCCGTACAGCTGTATTTGAGTAATAACTAGTGTAAATAACAGGATTTTAATATATATATGCATATTTGTTTTTCAGGGACGGTATACAGGATGGCTTAGATAATTGTCCGAATTTAGCGAACAGTGATCAGCAAGATGTTGATAATGATGGCAAAGGAGACGCCTGTGATGATGATATAGACGGTGATGGGATCCCGAACCTCGAGGACAACTGTCCTTTGGTGTACAATCCTGATCAGGCTGACGCTAATGGTACTTATATATAGAAAAATCCATAGCTATTTACTTAATAATAGGGCCTTACATATGAAATTGGTATTTTGTGTTACTTTCCAATTTGATCTCATATATCTCCTTTTTGGTAAGGAATTCCAAATTCAAAAATTTTTTTCGCTATTAATTAGTAATATGTAAAGAATATTATGAATTTGATGCTATGTGTTACTTTCGATTTTCATTTCATATATCTCCTCTTTGGTTAGTAATTCCAAATTCAAATTAATACCGCTATTTAAATGCATGTGTTTCGAAAACTGTAATCTTTTTTTTTCTGTTTGCGTCACTTAGTTTGCAAAATGTGAAACTTAAAATATCGCGTTATGAGCTTCGGAACTCATTCAGTAGTACAGAAAAAAATATATATGTTTGGGATATAATTTAATTTTTTTATCTAAGTTGCATTAAATTATTAAATTCGACATTTTAAACAATGTTTGTTTTAAATATTATCTATTATATATTGACAAATGTATTCATTAAAAGAGGTGAATGTTAGAGTATTATGAGAGTGAACATTTATTAAGATCAGATGCCTAAACTGGAGTACTTCCGAAAGAAAAATCTTTTTATAAATATTCAGATGCCGGGGGAGGTTTTATAGCATTTATATTAGAAGGTTCTAGGGGCTGTTAGAAGTAGGGTTGTTGAATACATTTTAATATAGACATCATTGAATTCAAAGTGCAAAATTTTATTTATTTTGTATTAAAATCGACAAAGTTTTGTGTCCTGACAAAATTTTTACGAAAAGAAAGAGAAACCGTTTTCTCTCGTGTATACATATTGGAGATTTACACGAACAATTTTTTTTTTATCTTTTTACCCTTTCGTTTTGATATATGTTGTAACTAGACCATACATATTTATTTTAGGTGACGGTGTCGGTAACGTTTGCGACAACGACTTCGATGGAGATAACATTACTAACGCTCTTGACAATTGTCCGAATAATTCGAGAATATTCCGCACTGACTTCAGGTACACTCAAATCTACATATTCATAATTAAAATTCATGACATTTAATAATAATTAATTTTAATAAGTATCAAGCTTAGTTTCAGATTTAGTATTGAAATTTCATATTGTCATTGTTCATACAATATATAAACCATAAAAATTGTTTTTGCATCTCGATATCAAATGAAAAGACCTAGTTGACGTTTTATAAAACATTTTTAATATAAGTATTTGTGACTGTCTTTTTCCAATCTTGTAGGAAGTATATGACGGTAAGGTTGGACCCAGAAGGTACTTCCCAACAAGATCCACGTTGGCAGTTGGCTCATGAGGGTGCTGAGATCACTCAAACTCTTAACTCAGACCCTGGACTGGCCGTCGGATTTGACAGCTTCGGAGGAGTTGACTTTGAAGGCACATTATTCGTCGATTCGCATATAGACGATGACTACGTTGGATTCATATTTGGGTAGGTTCTATGTAGAACTTTTTACATGAAAGGCCTAGAACTTTTTGCATGTAAGGGTAGGTTCTAGAACTTTTTACATAGAAGGCCTAAAATTTTTTGCATGTAAAAGTACATTCTCGTAAAAATTAAACTGACCTTTATTTCCTTTCGATCAGACCTAAATATTTCTTATCAGTTTTACTCGTAACTAATGTTTGGTGTTTTAAAGTTCTTAATTATTTGTTCTATGATCAGCTACCAGAACAATAAGCGGTTCTATGTGGTGATGTGGAAGAAGAATAGCCAGACGTATTGGCAGACGACTCCATTCAGAGCAGTCGCTGAGCCCGGGATACAGCTGAAATTGGTACACTCTAGCACTGGCCCGGGCAAGATACTGAGGAACGCCCTCTGGAACACAGAGTCTACACCAGATCAGGTCAATATTTAATACGTACTAAGACTTTCTTTAAGATCATCATCCTACTATTATTATAATTGCGAAAGTTTGTGAATGTGTGTAAATGCTTGTTACTTTTTCACGCTCAAATGGCTGAACCGATTTTGATAAAATTTTGTGTAAAGGAAGCTGACGTCCAGGAATAACACATAGGCTACTTTACATCCCGAAAATCCGCGGGTGAAATGCGCGTGGCGCAGCTAGTTTCTCATAACTTTAGCATCACTTCACAATCATATCTCTAAATTTTAGTTTAATTAGTTGTATAATATGGTTGGTTGTTTTTAAAATGGCTTTTATATGTGCAAGGACTTAAAGTATAATAACATTTATCGTTTCAAAACCACACTGACATATTATAGTGATGTTACCAGAAATATATACAAGTATAATCACCTTAAAAAGACAATTTTGATGTATTAATATTAAGTGCTAAGAGGTTTAAAATTCTGCGATAGAATAAGTATATTGTTGTACAAAAAATATTTCACACAATAGTAACATTAGCCTATGAAATTGGAATTAGTACCTAAAATGATTGAATCTTATTTTCTTTAACATACAGACTATATTCGTTTGTATTTTCTACGCACTACCGATCTCAAGGGACAAGTAAAGTGACGTTAAATTATTTATTATAAGAAACACACAGAGTTTATTTGGAAGGGACGTAAAAACAACCTCACGGCCCATTCCTTGAACAAAAGAAATTGGTTGACATATCAATTTAGCTAGTTTACTTTTGTAAACCTCGCTTTCCACTTGTATGAAGGATAATTATAGCTACTTCTTTATTATTATTTTAATACTGCAGTTTTCTTTCTAGATTTCAAAAACAAAATATCAGTAATTAGAAGTTATTATTCTTAACCACTAATATTACTAAGTAACTGATAGTACTGAATATTGTATAGCAAAGATTAAATCAATGAATAGACTTACAGTTTCAATAGCAACTTTCCTTTTTTAGCTGTGTTTAAAACAACTATAACATATTTTACTTCGTCGCATTTTGTTACAATTCCTCAGATGTTATGCGAATAAGAAAAAAATAATTATATTAATTTTTATTACATTATAAAAATATCCAGTGGTTTTGAACTAAGAAACTCTAATTGTAAAACGTATGAAGATTTAGTAATACGAAGAACTATGTACATGAATTAATATTTATTACCAACAAATCTTTTTCATTACTGATTTTTATGAACCTCAGGTAACACTTCTATGGAAGGATCCTCGCAACGTCGGCTGGAGGGAGAAGACGGCCTACCGCTGGCGTCTCATACATAGACCCAAGATAGGACTGATTAGACTGAAGATATATGAGAACAATAGTCTTGTAGCTGATTCTGGAAACGTATACGACTTCACGCTTAAAGGCGGAAGGCTGGGAGTTTTCTGCTTTTCACAAGAAATGATCATTTGGTCCAATCTTGTGTACCGCTGTAATGGTGGGTAGTTTAAGATATAATGATTATTTTCTCCCTATAACTTTGCTTGGCCGTTATTTGGTTTTATTTTTCGTGTTTTTATGATATGATATGATATCTCATTTCAGATAAAATACCAACGAACATAGTATCAGAGCTGCCACCAAGGCTTCTTAAGAAGCTGGATATAGACCACGACTTCGTTTATTTGTAGTTATAACTAATATACTACTAAGTGCAGTACTAAGTACTAAGACAAACAGAAAATATAGTTTGGACTAATTTAAATCTTATAACAATAAATATATATTTATATCTAAATATTTGTATATATTAATTTTGTATTGATTCATATTAAAACAATATATATTAAACAAAAGTTTACATTACTCTAATTTTTAATATAATACAAATAATTATAATTAATAATGCAATTTACATCTTGTAATAAAAACTTATTATTTTTTAATACTCCATTAAAAAAAGTATATTATTTATAAATTCTTTCAAACAAAATTTATTCAACATATAGATTACTCATAAAATCTTTGCCGCCATTATTGTTGTTAATAAGTGTCAAATATCATATTGTCATTAAGAATTATGTGTCACCTTTTTGAGTATATCACAGTTTAAATCGGTAATTATTTTTAAGGACTACACTATTTGTTAGCGAGTTTTACGGTGAATTGAGAAAAATTTTCGCAATCCCTATTTTTATCTTTCTTATCTGATTTATTTAAACATTATAAAAAACTGTTGGAAGTTTGAATTTTGCCAATAGCTTACAAAATAATTAAAAATATTGATGTTGCTTCGTTTTTATTTAATAAGTTTATTTTTGTTAAAAGTTTATAATAAATTAATAAATGATAAAATATATATTTTTTTTTTCCTTAAACTTCACAACCCTATTTATATTTTATTTTTTATTTAAATTTTATTATAACTTTACAACTTTATTTCTCGTATTATAGGATGCATATAAAAAAGTTTTTATTGCACAGAAATTGATGACATGTAATTAAGAAAAAAAGATGATTCATTTGACGTATTTTTTCTTTGATCGCATATAGTTTTTGATATGAAAGTTTTATTTTTCTAATATTTTGTATACTTAAGATTCCTTTTGACATATTTTAATGGAGGACTTCAATGACGATGAGGAGGTAGAGAATATGACGGGAGACATAGATTTTAATCAGATATTCAATGCTATTGATCGTTCAAACCAAGTTCAAACCCTTCAGGATTTAAAGAGTATCGATAGAATGATTGTAGGAGATGGTGTTCTTGTAAAGAAAAGTCTCGCTACAGAGATACGACCTAGCACCAGTAAAATGAACAAGAGGAAGAGAAAGCATAGATACCAATTATCCCGTGTGATACTACCGAGAGTCTCGAAAAGTAAGGCGATACATAGAATTGCTACTATATCCAAAGGTGTAGTGGTGTCTAGAAGCCAGCCTCAAATAAGAAAGTCAATCAGATCTTTCAAAAGAAAATTATTAAGATCCGGGGGAATTAAAAGTAATATTGTTTTATCAAAGGCTTTTTAGCCGGTGTAATAATAGTTGCCTCTAATCAAAATGCGAGACAAATGTTATAAATTTAGTTTTCTTTTGAAAAGTTATTCATGTCTTTGTAGTTATTTTTTTATTGTTTATTTCTTTCTTACATGTAACACTTTATGTAATTCTAAAGAACCGGTTTCGTGGCACTTTTGATACCTAGTAATCGAGTTGGGAATTAATAAAGTGTAATAACTATTGCATTTAAAATCTTTGTTGTTTTTTTAACAGTATTTTTATTTTTTGGGATGTTTATAATTTTTATTATTATCATACTATTGGTCAACATGATAGAATGAGACGATAATTAATAATGCGGGTGCCGGGTCAATCGCGTTTCAGGGAAACGAGTGATTGGGACTTGCGAAATTTAGTGTTCACTTATAAAAGAATTTTGTCTAAAGACTGATTGAAATTAATCTCTAAAATTTCTTAGCAATTTTTTTGTTTTAAATTTTTTATAATAAATATGCAACAAACTGATCTTATTTAGGAATATGTACTCGCCTACAAAGTATGTATTGGAATATTAACCATAGTTCAAAAAGAGTAACAATATTAAAAGCAAGTTTTGAGCCAATTGAGTTTTGCTAAGGAACAAAAACTGAACACAATAATATCAGAGTCTACTTCTTCTACCTGGCAATTTCCCAGCTTTAGCCAGGGTCTGCCTTACATGTTGTGTATAGTTTTGGCTATTTGTTTTTACGACCGGCTGCCTGCCTGACATCAACCCTCTTTTGGGAAACAACATTAATCAGTGATGTCTAAATAGTCTTAGAAATTACATATGATTCGGAAAAATCACATACCAATAACAGATTTATGCCAGTTATCATTGATCTCTAAATAAATCCGGTTCACCTTAATCATTAAAAGGATCTTAAACTCGTCCCTCGATATCATCCATTAATAACTTACTTAGTATAATGGATTGGTTACTCAATGATTTATCATACTTAGATATATGTAGATTTCTTCAATGCATTATTGTAAATAAACAATAATAAACTTTTAACAAAATATTAATATTAATTCTTGAGCAACTACCTGTTTTCTTTTTCTATTTACTTATCTGAGTAAAAAGTAGTATACAAATTACAGTTCAATAGGACATAATTTGAAGTCGTAGGATAAATTATGTTAACTTCTGTTAACAAAGTAATCAATACTAATTTGACGCGTTTACTTTTCCACTGACTTTGTGATAGTTATTTTATTTGTGGAATAAAAGTGATACCTGGGTTTATTTATTTTAAAGCCGAAGACCGGCAGTTGCAGCTAACTTTTCTTACATAGTAATATGTTGACTATTGAGATATAGCACTGAATTAAAAATATATATTCTCTATGTCAGTTATATTTTATAATGATAAAATAAGTTTTAAGATGAATGTCTGACAAACTTTTATTATTATTTACATACTAAAAGATGAGTCAGTGAAGTATCTTTCAGTATTATCTATATTAAAAATTCCTTTTACTTTAAATTTCAATGATTATCTTCAGGGTATTCAGAGACTTAGTCTGCAAACTTCTTCGTTAAAATGTATCTTTATCTTTGAAACTAATGGAAGTTACTCTCAGAAGAATTTATTGATAAATATTCTAGATTCTTTAATACTTAATAAAACTTCTTATTCAAAGACATTATAAGTTTAGTAGATTTATTATGCATACGTTTCTACAATTCTAAAAGTTTTATTGGAGACTTTAATTAAATTTTCCATACAAACAAATACTTTCTTAAAATGCTTCTTTTAATCAGCGTGATGTGGTCTTATAACTGATCTGTGTTCAAGATCAGTCCATATATCATCATATGTACAATACATCAAACTACAGTAACTGTAACGTCTCGTCTAACGTAAACTAATTATAACTTGGACCACAACACCTGACGCAGAATAAATCATACCGGATGGGTATTGAGGAACTTTAATATGAATTACTATCATACACTATACACTGATTGAGAGGAGAGACTGTGTAAAGACTAAATGGGTAGGATACAATGTGAACATGTTTAATTCATTATAGTTTTTTTAAGAATATAATTATTAGGACAACATGATTTATTATTTAGAAGTTATTACCAAAGTTACTTACATTTATAGTGGAACTAAACTCAAATTATAGTCGTATAGTTTAATTCACTTAGGTACATATTAATTCAATTAATATTAAGTTATTTGAATCTAAACTATATATGGTTACATTGATTGATGACAACGTTTACACAATGACAAAATACGAGTACAGCGTTTAATATATATGAATCCTGGCACATTTTCCTTTTCATATAATTAATATACCTAAGTTATGTTTTAAAATAAGGCTATCATGTGGAATATAAAACATTGAAAGGAAAGTCATTAAGAATAAGAATTTTATTTTAGTGTAACGAAGCTGACATGTCGGGAAATATCATATTTTTCTTCAATGTTTTTTGTAAAAAACTTGCAAGAACATCTTTATACATAATCATTTTTACACGTACTTTTGTTATTTAAAAATAATGTAAAAGGAAAGTGTAACCACCGTTCAATATACTCCAACAACTTCTCATCATTACATTATAATATTCTACCAAATATTATCTTTCCATTATCTCATCATAACGAGAAAACTGCACAACGAAACTGAAATAATGGATGAAGTTAAAGTCAATAGACGTATATTTATAATAAAACAAATATTATGAAAAACAAAAATTTAAAACAATACTTATTAAAATCATTCAACAATACGTTATTATGTTATTTTAAAAGGTTCTTATCATAAATAACAAACGATATGTATTCACTGAAACAAAGAACAGAAGCTTCCATCATTAACATAAACTAATATAAGAATTAAATAATTATTATTATATATGATTACAATATACATTTTCCTAAAGTAATCATAAAATACATCGAGCAAATTAATGAAAGATAACTCTTTACATATAAGTAAATGTGAAATAACAAAAATATATTTTGTACAACACAAATAAACGAATACAAATGAATTTTGAATTTACATAAAACGTTACCCAGTTTAGAGACAAAGAAAGTAAAAATTTAAACTTTGTTTGACAATAGACTGCCGAAGAGGGAATTTATTGAACAAATTCTATCTACCTTTAGAAGTCAAAATATTTATAAACAACGTACGAGAGAAAACGAATATTTTTATAGAATTAATATTCATCCACTACAGGATGTCTAAAAAACATAATATTACAAAATGTCTGAGATAAAAATGTTTTATGTTTTACGTTATCTTATAAAATAATTTTATCCTAATCTCCACATCCTATATACTACCAATGTCTTCTTGTTACAAAAGTATTAAAAGAACATACATACATTGAACTCAATCGTGTTCATTAAAGTCACACTCGTTATAAAGTTGTAACATACTTTGTATGAGTATGATACACCAGTAATTATTGTATCGTTTAACTTACAAGAGTAAAGAGACGTCTTAAGAAAATAAATTATTGAACTTCTAGTTTCTGTTCTTTGTAGACGACAGAGGGATCGTATAACAACAAAGATATAGGGTATATTAAATTATTTCTCATAAGATCACATACTTAAAGGAATTTCCTCTAATTATAGTTCATTTTTTATTATAATAAAAATTTTAAAAATCAGTTAGAGCTTAAATAGATGACACTCCAGCAAAATAATTATTATTTTTTATTATATATTGAGTTTAAATTAATATCTATACATTGTTAATAAAATTATTATTAGATTTATGTACATATATTATTACTATACTATTTGACATAAAGTATGTTGCTTAGTTTGTCATGTCCCAGTAAATACATATATTGTTTTGACATCCATTTAAAGTGGATTTAAGATGTTAGTATTGAGGATAAATCAACAAACATGGCTGCTGTTTTTTTCAGACATTCTTTAAAGCTGCCATAAACTTTTTATTTCACTGTACATTGCTGTGTTATCAAATATTTGTGTTCTACATGTGACTACAGATGTATAAGTGAAGTCAGTTTAAGAATACCCAAGAAATAATGGTACAGAAATACAAGGCATAAATATCATACAAATTTGACGTATATTTTGCAGAGAAATTCTATTACAGGTATAAAAATGACTTTCAGAGTTTCACAAACAACCAGTACGTTGATTTAATTTTTATTTCATTGGCTTTCAATAGTTTTGACTGCATTTCTTTGTCACGTTTTATGTCTAGTTATTTCCGCTTTAAATCAATTTTGTATGAATTTAACTAACGGTTTAAAAAAAAACGTTCGTTACTTAAACAATATTATTTCAGATTTAAAATACTATGATAGTAGCAAGTTCCGTTTCAATATAAGAAGTGTAAATGTTGCTTAAAAATATTATAATATTATAAAATTAATATTTACTGAAATAGTTTTATTTTTCCGTAGTTCCGAAAATAAAATCTACAATTTTTTTAAGACGAGCGACTATGATGGAACCATTTGAATCATTTGCCTGAATCTTTGTTCCCTTCCAATTATATCCCTAATACAATAATCTCCAAGAAATAGGCTGATACTGAGATACTATGTTCACCACCTACAACTGTGTTTCCACCTTTCCACCGGTCAAATATCAGTCAAGCACTATCCAGTCGAGATTTTCGAAAAAACAGAGTTTTATATCTCGATTTCAACAAGTACATGACGATGAGGATGGTCAAACAAAAATATCATTTTGTTTTCAATGAAATAAGACTTTATAAAAGTTTTTAAAACAATTTTACTACGGCTGTATGAGATAAAATATTTTGCATTGGATATTACAAGGCATTAAATTTGTCAGCGAGTTTTAAAGTACTTTGCTCTTTTTTAAATAAATATCTCTTTTTGTGCGCAAGTGTAACGAAAAGATAATAGTGAAAGTAAATTATCATTAATAACCATACTTACAATTAATCCTGTAGCTGTTAATATTATGAACATCATAAAGTGTTCAGGGTGAGCCTGATGAGAAACTCAT